AAATATAGTAGAAAATTTTTTTGACATGGTTAGAATGTAATAGGTGCTAATTATGACTGCTTTAAATATTAATATTTGGCCTATCCAACATAAATTGTAATTGATTTGAAGACATTTAAATGGAGGTGAATAATGTGTGGTTATGAGGTGGCTGATACAAAGCTTTTAACAGTTCAGAATAAGGATTAGTAGATGTTGTGAAGGTGAAATAGATGGAAAATTCTTTTCAGAGTAGAAACATGCAAACTTCTTGAAAATGTTTCTTTTCACTAGAAAACTTCAAAATTCTTAAAATTATCTTAAGAGCTTGTGTCATTGTAACAGTGTAGGCTAGTGACGAGAGTGCATATTTTTTTTAATCTCATTGTAGAAAGGCAAGAACTTTGTTAGGACTGTCTTAGCTACTTGCTCTAATGGTTGATAGGGTTAAGGAGAACTTGGTTCTAATGCCCAGTATAGCTGAGCACTGTTTATGTTGTTTTGCCCTCTTCCTATGGCACAGGGGAGTGAAAATATGTGTTGTAATATTGACACATAGTAATATTAGAATATGTTGTGGCCATGATCTTTCTGTATTGGAAAGCATGTCAAAATTCAAAAGCGGTGATGTGACATCCTTAGCCTGCCTCACTTTACACTTAGGTCTCGGGACTGTTTATGGGCAAACTAGATTGAAGATTGTGCAGCATGAGCTGTGGGGTCATTTTTAGGTATATAGGCTGAAAAGTAATTCAGGTGTTTCTTAAAATAATGCCAAAGCAAAGGAAATAAACATGTCCTTGAAAAACAAAAAAAAACTTTATCTTTGGAAATTTTAACAGAAGACTTGAACAATTTAAAAGGACATCTTAGCTTAGATTTCTGGAGTGGGTGCTTGATCTAGGCACTGTGAAAGCAACTTTGTACATTTAACCTCAGAGGGCAAGAACTGTAACCACATAAAAGTAGTGTTAGAAATTATTTTTTTTTCTAGGAAACATCTCCATGTTTCCTAGGAAGAGAAGTAAATAGTAGGTATGTAGGTGAATGAGTCTAGTACTGGCTGAGCAGCTGGTTTTAGGATTAGGAGACCCAGGGAATATTGCAGAGTGAACTGTGACTGCTGAGCAGGAATATCATAGCAGGGAGCTTGCTTATAGGTAAGCAATGAGAAGGGTTAGCAATTCATGTATGCTGGGGAAGAGGGGTAATGCAATTGTGAGGGGGTGAGGAGAGAGAAGGTGAAGGCATGTGAATTGGGATGAAGGACTGGAAGCATGAAAAAATAGAAGGAAATTAGGAGATAATGCTGTTGCAGAGAAAGGAGACCAAAAGGAATAAGAACTGTTGAAATTCAAACCAAAAATTAGCAGAAGAATCTGCCCTCTGTGGTCTTGTCCTGCCCGATTTGAAATGAAACCTGAGATTCCTGGGCACCTTCTTTCAACAAAGTATCTGTCCCAGCCCCTGTAATTACTGCTCTTAGTCACAATATAACTTCAGTTGCTCATTTAGGTCCTGTCAAAAGTATGCAGCACAGGTGGTGCAATTGTTGTTGTTTTGCAGGTATCATGTGGTGTCACTTGGAAGTGTTTTAACATTTTGCTTTTAAAAACCCAACTCTGGGGAAATGAATGTGGTATATATACTAAGGCAGTGCTAAAGACGAACTTATATATGTCAGGAAATCCCCATTATTTCAGAGGGTTAGGGTGGCATCTGCTGTTTCCGTAGGGCCCTCTTGTGTACATATAGGGATAATTTCTGATAGACAAATCTCAGTCTTTATTGTGAAGGCAATTTCATTGATTGTGCTGGACAGAACTGCCTGACAGGTGCATGGTGCCATGGCTTTGTGTGACAAGGAATGCATGGTCATGTGATCCTCACCTGTTGCCAAGAGTTCAGTTTCTAAGCTGAATTCTAGGCCTATGCTATTTCATTTAAAAATGGTGTTTGATCTATCATGGGTTTACTATCCTATGGAATGGTAGCCTGTTTGAAAGGAGAGGAGTGGGAATGTGCAGCTGGGGAAGAAGGAGGGGACAGAGCTGCTGCTTTTAGTGCCCACACAGCCCTACAGGCCTGAGTGGATTCACATTTATTATGAGACCTCAATTGTCTGTTGTGAAAGTTAAACAAGATGGGAGACTGCTGGAGGGGAAAGGGTACTCTCAACAGTCGAGTGTTGCCTACATTGTTTTCTGCACATGTGACTACTCGAAAAATGGGCACAGCTTTTCACAGGAGGCCAACAGCCTGAGGTAGTAACACTGAGCATTCAAGTCACAAATAAGATGCTAGGAGTTCTGCTCTAGCAGTAGAAAATGTTGGATAATATTCCATCCTCCAAAATAAGGTGGGCCAAGTGGGTGTCCTTAGCTTGAATTTTTGTTTTTCTTTTCCCATCTTTTTAAATAGGAAGAGTACTTCTATGAGATAAGGGAAGACTATGGAATATATTACTGTTTAAAGCACTCAATCACAACAGTGTGGTACCCTATAAAAAAATAATAAAAATCTGTCTTCTGAATTGGACTTACTAAACTGTTGTATAATAAAAAAGGTCTAAGCAAAGAATTGGGTTGGCTTATTAAGTAGACACTCTTATGAACTGAGCAAGATGAGGACCACCCACAAAAATGTTGTCACTATCACACTTGTACATGAAGTCCTTTGTTTCAGGAGATTATTTTTAAAAATTAAGAAATTTGTTCAAAAAATCAGAACTTGATGAAACCAGAACTCAGGTTTTAAGAAATTTGTTCCAGAACAAAGTGCTTGTCTTTTGCAGTCTAAATAATTTTTCCTCTGGTTGTGTTTTTTGTTTTGGTCTGTTGTTTTTTTTGTTTTGTTTTTTTTTTTTTTTTAAATGTGTGCCATTTGTTTCTGCTTTTAAGGGTGAGATTTGGAAAAATCTCACTCAAACTAATTTGAAAAATTTAGTTTTCTGTGATTTTTCTTGAATAGAAAAAATATGAAGCAAACTAGTCTGATTTTTATTCTATCTAGCAATTCTGTACCTAAAAATCTAGAGCTAAGATGCCATACAGTTTTGCAAGTGTGGTGGGTTGACTGTGACTGGATGCCAGTTACCCACCAAAGCTGCTCTATCACTCCCCTCTGCAACTGGACAGGGGAGAGAAATTATAGCAAAAGGTTTATGAGTTGAGGGAGAGATCGCTCACCAAACAGACTGAGATCGCTCAGTCTGTTTTGTCATGGGCAAAACAGACTGAATTTGGGGATATTCACTAAATTTGTTACTAACAAAATCAGTGGGATAATGAGAAGTAAAATTAATCTTAAAAACCTCTTTCCCCCACTCATCCCTCCTTTCCAGGATTTACCTCCTCCCCCCCAGCAGTGCACGGAGACGGGGAATGGGGGTTACGGTCAGTTCATCACATATTGTTCCTGCCACTGCTCAGGGAGAAGAGTTCTTCCCCTGCTCCAGTGTAGGATCCCTCTCATGGGAGACAGTCCTCCATGAACTTCTCCAGTGTAAGTCCATCCCTCAGGCAACAGTTCTTCACGAACTGCTCCAGTACGGGTCACTCTACCATGAGGTGCGATCCTTCAGGCACAGGCTGCTCCAGTGTGGGACCTCACAGGGCCACGGGTTCTACCAGGAAATCTATTCCAACTTGGGCTCCTCTCCCCATGGGTCAGCAGGTCCCTGCCAGGACCCTGCTCCAGCACAGGTTTCCCATGGGCTCACAGCCCTATTTCAGGCATCCACTTGCTCTGGCATGGGTCTTCTCCACAGGCTGTAGGTGGATCTTTTCACCCCCGTGGACCTCCCTGAGTTGTGGGAGCACAGCTGCCCCACTATGGTCTGCACCATGGGCTGCAAGGGAACCTCAGTTTTGGTGCCTGGAGCACCTCCTTCCCGTCCTTCTCCACTGACCTTGGTGTCTGCAGGGCTGTTCCTCTCACGTATTCTCACTCCACTCTTCTCTGGCCACAATTACATCTGCACAATAAGTTTTTTTTTTCCTTCTTTAATATGTTATCACAGAGGCATCACTATCATCCCTGATTGACTCGGCCTTGGCCAGTGGCAAGTCCTTCGTGAAGGCAGCTGGCATTGGCTTTACCAGACATTAAGGAAACTTCCAGCAGCTTCTCACAGAAGCCACTCATGTAGTCCCCCTGCTACCAGAACCTGGCCACACAGACCCAATACTGCAAGCTACTTATTACTTATTAGCATATTTCGGATTGCAGTCTTGTTGAGGGGATTTTGTTTCTTTCTTTTTGTGGTTGGTGGTTTGTGGTTGGTTTGTTTTTTTTAATAGGACTGGTTCACAGAGTTCTTTGGTAAAAGTTGGTTAATCTGTTCTCCACAATGCCATGGCATGGAGATCCTTTTTGATTTGGGAAAAATTATACCTTATACTTCTGATTTCTGCTGCCTGTAATTTCCTGTTGCACCAATTCTTCTCTGATACCTGTCACGAGAGACATCTATGCAGAAAATGGGGTCACTGAATGACAGCTGAGCATGTGAAGGCGGAGAGGCAGGTGAGAGTACAGGCTGAAGTACAGGATCTTATGGTTGGAGCACAGCATCCTCCTTCTTTTTTCCCCCATCCTAGTGTATACTCACTTGCCTTTTGGCAGATGATGTGGAAACAGAGTGTGCTGGTGGTGACAGCAGGGGCCAGAGCAACCTCATGTGTCTGTTAGCCATCCCTGCAGGCTACCACTCCAGAGAAGGGCATTGCTCCCACTGTGGGCAAGAGAGAGGTGGTCTGCTTACAATTAAATTGCTGCCCCCGCTTCAAGGGCTGCAATACATGTCAGTTCACATTCGGAAATTTCATGTGCTTAATGTATTTTGGAAAGAAAACCAAACTTTTATCAGAATAAAGTTTTTATTGCTGAGAAACTTTGAATTGATGAATTAGCAGCTATTTTTATTCATGAGTTACATTCAAAAAAGATATTTCAGTTAATTGTATCTTAAAATGTATAAGAGTTGCAGAGTTTCACTTCTAAGGTTTTCTCATTTTCAGAAACAAGACACTGGACAGATTTTGTTGGATATGACCTATAACCAGTTGGGTGTGACGGAGAAGGAATACTTTGGTTTACAGCAAAATGAAACTTCAGTAGATTCACCTGTAAGTACAGTTAATAATAAATGTGTGTGCATGTATATGTATGTATAAATATATATACATATGTGCATACACATATATGTATACACACATATTCATGCACACACATGCACATAAAGAAACAGTATTTATTTGTAAATATTTTAATCCATCTAATAGTTTTTCATTTCACAGCGATGGCTTGAACCAAGCAAACCTATTAGAAAACAGTTAAAAGGTAAGACTTGTTTTTAATATCTTGATTGTAACTTTGTAGTGCTGGTTTTCTGTGTTCTTATGATTAGAAAAAATGCAGTTTGTCCAGATGGCAAATTTTCATCAGGAACAAGTCTTATCTCTACCAGTCTCTTCAAGAGAGCTTTCTACTACTCCTTACTCCTATCCGACCTGCTAGGTCACTAACTTTGATGTTGTAATAGCATCTAAACCTGGCTTCTGAGCAGTGTTAGACTTCATGGCCATGAAAGCAGCAGTCATATTGTTGTGCCAGTGAATTCCTCCTGATAGGGAAGATAAGGAAGAAGGGGTTTGATTGAGGGAAGCATAGCCAATTTCCTGTATGGCAATTTCTTGTCTCAAGTACAGCAAGAAAAAACAAATTTTTGCTTTTTTATTAAAAACTAATGAAACAAAAAACACCACACACTTCCAAGTGTATGTGTTTTTCTAGTGTGTCTTGTTTATAAACAGCTTTGGGTAACACAGAATGCTTACCAAGAAGTACAGGTGGGCCAGTATGATGGTGCCAGATAGCAGCTTAGGAGGACTGAGTGACACTATTGCAATTTATGCTGTGGCACTTGAGCTATGCTTTTCAGCTCTCTTATTTTTACCCTGTGTTACAAATTATGTTTGTTTTGTTTTTTTTTTCAATTCATACACAAGGTTAGCATGGTGAACTTCTGTAATGTCAGGTATTTATATGTAAGATAGAATTGAGCGTTATGCCAGTTGAGACACCTTAAGCATATTTGGTTCTTTTCTCTCTTCTAATACTTATGAGGCAAAGGTACCTTAATAACACCTTTTATGCAAAGTAGCATATACTTTAAATGAAAGCATTACAGCATTTGAGTGTTTTCTTCTCAAAGTTGGTGTTAGGGGATCAGGAGAGACTTCTCATAGTTTCTTCTAGTTTCATGAGAAAAATACATGAGATTTCCCTGTGGTTGTTCAGGTAATTTTTCTGGAAATATAGAAATTAAAACTGTTTTCTGTTTTAAACTAAAAATTTTATTTGCTCTTCTAAAATATTGCAGGAGGTTTTCCCTGCACCCTTCGTTTTCGTGTAAGGTTTTTTATACCTGATCCGAACACACTTCAGCAAGAACAAACCAGGTAACTTCTCTTTGTTTGCTTCTATGAACTAGGAATGTGTAAAACCCTCCTTTCGCATGTCCAAAGCTTTGCAAACTATGCTCTATTACATAAATAACTTTGTATAACTCTTAATATTAAATGTGTTTGGATTGGACAGCTTGATGCAATGCTCACGATGAATGGTTTCTGCTACACACAGCCTACAACTCCAAAATACAGTAGGAATATAAGCAAGTACAAAGATGTCAGTTGGTTTATTTGCACCTTGAATTCTTTGGGTTTTTTGAGCCTGCATGCCCTAGATCTATCTTAGAAGTTTTGTATCAACATTGAGTCAGTTTTGAACATGTGCAGTAGATTTAATGCCAAGGGTGTGGAAGGGTGGGGTTTATTTTGTTTCAGGAAGAACAGATAACAGTTCTTGTTTCCTAGTTTGCCCATTACACTTGTAACATGCAAAGATCTATAGTCCTTTGGTTTACAGTAGACTTTTTTTTTTTTACCTGTCTCTGAGTTTTTAGGGTGATGGGGTACATGAATTATAAGCAATTTTCAATTAATTTGTCACAAGATTTTAATTGAATACTTGTTTTGTTCAGTGCCTTTGATTTGGAATTTAGAATTTGAGGGCACCCATTAATCTGGTATTTTTGTAACATTTTCACTGCTTGTTGATTTCAGTGTCTTGAGAATATAAATAACTATTGACCTGTTTTGATATTTGTTAATCATGCAGTTTTAAGCTGCTCTGCAGTTTAAAACTGAAATTATTTGGTGATCCGTTCTTTATGCTTCTTCATATCTCATTTCTTCAGTAGCACTAAAAAGTAACATTGTCAAATACACTAATAAGAGCAAGACTGAACTGCTCTTGGAGAATTGTTTAAGAGCTTTTTGTCATCATATACTGCTAGAGAAATGTCTCATTCTCAATTGAGTTGTTGCAAGATAGGCTTTCACAGTCTATCTTGATGGGGGTTGTTTGTTTGTTTGTTTGTTTGTTTTTGTTTTTGGATTTTTTTTAGTGTTGCATTCAAAGTCAATATTCCAGGAAGAAAGAGAGCCCAGTTCTGTAGTGGTTTGGTTTTTGTAGTGTTAGTTGTGACATTAATACTATGATCCTGGAGTTGCAGTACAGACTGCCAAAGATCTTTAAAACTTTTATCGGACTAAGTGGGTGTATGATTGCATATTTGTCAATGCCACTAATCTTTATTCATCTGTTTGTATAGTTTGCTGAGATATCTAATAAAATAAAACTAATATATGTAGCCATTTAAACCATACCTTTTAAAATAAATGTACATTTTTTCTTTTCCTAAAATACCTTTTCTAGGCACTTATTCTTTCTGCAATTGAAGATTGATATTGCAGAAGGAAGGTAAGAAGAAGAATCTTCAATTTCTCTATAATTATTTTAAAAATAAAATAAAAATGCCTTTTTCTGAGGGTATTGTTGCTATAAAAATGTGCCTTGTGAAACATTGCTTTAAGGGAAAATTAAATTGCTAGGAAATGTTACAAATTGTCACATAGCTTACTCATTAAGAACATTTGAGAAGTCTGTTGTAAATGAGCTGTAGGAGATGCCATGTGTCTGCAGGCACAATGTTAGCTGAATAGATATTTATGCAAGGCTTGCTGTGACAGGCATGGAATTCCACGTGGGACCAACTATCCACTGTGGTAAGCAGGAGGGAGTAGCAAAGAGCAGTTCATACTATCGTTTCTTCTGATTTCAGGGTTATATTACCTATATGGTGGGTATATACCCAGTAGTTCCTTTGACTGCAATTCCTGTGTGTTTGTACATTAAAAAAAAAAGGGGGGGGAGAAAGATAGTCCAAGTACTTCTGCCAAACGTAAATTGCATTTAGGATTTGTTTTTTTTCTTCTATAGAGTCAGTTTTGGTCATAAGATAAGAGCTGTCTTTGTGCTCGGCATTGGCTAATTTTAGTGTTTATGTCTAGTTTTAAAAAAACCAGAATGCAACTATTAAAGTAATGTCCAGAGCCTCATAAAAATCTCATCTCCTTTTTCTTTTCTGAATAATCATCTAGTAAGAATTCGAACATATTATTTTAGAACTACTTACTTCCATTCAGTTAAGAAACTGTTTAATGTCCAGTCCTACTGTGCTTTGACAATCAAACTTAGAAAAAATCAGATACTCCTTGAAGATAAACAAGTCTTCATATACTGAACTAATTGCAGAGACATTTTAATAAGTCATTTATACAGTCTAAGTAATAAAAAACATATTTATATATAATATTATATATAATAACTACATTATTATATAATATAATAATTATATATAGTATTATGTATAATAAATACAAATATTTCCTCTCCTTTCCAGGTTGTCATGCCCCATTAGTTCTGCTGTTGTCCTGGCATCGTATGCAGTACAATGTAAGTAATAAACAATCATTATTTTGTTAGTAAATATATTTGACCAATGACCTTCTCTGCTGTTTGGCACTGGAAAATCAGGAGAGATTTCTTTCTTTACCTATTTGTGTGGAGTATTCAACATGCTATGGCTGAAGTTTTGTAAAGCAGGTTCAGGTTGTTAAAGCAGCCTTCAGATAGCCTAAATAGAAAAAGTGTACTTGCTAGGCCTGTCAAAAAGTAAAAAAGTTGATACAAGGGTAATATTGTTCTTATTTATGTGTACTTGTACTGCTGACAAAAAAGTCAGGTTTTCATTGTCATCGGAAACAAAATAGTGAAACTTACTGTGTATTGCAATGCTATGGGAAAGCATTCCAGGGGAATAAGTGGCCATGTAGAGAACAGTTAAGAGGAAGGTAAACTCATTATTAAGAAATTACAGTGTTCTTATGTAATTTTTTTAATGGTATTTAGTTTGTTAGTTGTGTAAAACTGGCACTTTGCAATACATTTAAGGTGACTCTACATACAAGAACTTGCATCCTTCTCATCTGCCTGCAACTGGGTAAAAAATTACTGAAAGGTTGATACTAGAAAAACATCTTCTGTAGGAAAACCAAAATGGAGTCTGATCCAATGCCTCACAAGCATACTGGACAGATAGTGAAAAACAGCTGGAGGAAAAGCTTTCTCATTAAGCAAACAAAGAAAAAAAACAATGTTGAGGGTTTGATGGATGGAGTTTGCACATTTGTTAAAATAGTTGTCAGGGGAAAGTATGCTTAGAATAGTTACGTAATTATTTGGATGAATCTCATTTCTTTATGGAACGCTAGCAAGACCCACAGAAATGATTGAGGTAATTTTTGTTTGAAATAAGGGTGAAGCTAAATAATTTAAATGTGAGTTTCAAAGAAGAATGTGATAAACTCTTGGTATCTATTAAAATCCTAAGTGGCTATAAAACATTAACTTTTATGTTTAAGCATGTCAGATATTGCAACCTTTCATAAAATGGAACTGTAATCACATTCAAGCTTAGTAAGAAGAATTGAAACCAGAACAAGTTTTCCATAGTAGGGTGCAGTCTCAGTTTTGTTGCCAAATGAAACACATTCTGCTCTGGTGTTCCTGAAGAACAGTAAGGGTACTTGAAGGCTGAAACACTCTGTTAGGACTGTTAAATATACTTCTGCTGACCAATTGTGCTAAAGCTCAAAAATGCAAAGGGGCACTGAAGAATGTAAATATCTTATCACAAAGTAAAATTAATCATGCCACATCTAGTGTGCCACAAATCCCTAAGTAGTTTCTGTTTCCCCTTCAGTTCTATGACTGTTACCTTTTTAGTGCTTAGGATACCTACTAATGCATTTGTCTATACTGAAGGGAAATGATAGAAGGACAGTGAAGATTGTCAAAGGGTGCTAGTGTGTTTTAATCTTTTATGGTGGATTCTGGAATTTCCTATCCAGCTATTTGCCTGGTTTTTCAGCTCATAGATAATACTGATGTTACCAGGTGGTAGGGGTTTTTTTGTGGTGTTTTTTTGTTGTTTTGTTTTTTAATTAAAAGAAAAAAACGACAGAAAAAACACAAACCCAAAAAAACCCCCTAACCTTTCTTTTTTAGCTCACTGATGTCCTTTTTGTTGCTGTTTGTATGATGCCAATATTTATTCTCTTCATTCATAAAGGATGAAACATTAAAAAAAAAAGATGTATTCCCTTAAAAAAAATTAAAAGTTTTTGTTTTCCTACCAGGTTGTTGCTGTTTACCTAAAGGCGATGGCATAGGAAAGACTTTCTGAAATCTGAGGGAAATCTGTGTCTCCTTATCGAGTTATGTTTGGTGGGATTCTTGTCAACTGAAATTGTTTTAAATCCTATTCTATTACTGTTTTAATTTCTAATCATACTTAGAAAGGAGAGAAGAAGTTCTTGGATATGAGGTATCTGCTTATGAAAAATCCATTGTCTGAAGTTACCATGAATTGGTTCTACCTGAGCTGTTTATTGCCACTTCATGGTGACTTTCAATTTACTCTCTCCTGCAGTAACTTCCCTTGTATGCAGAAGGGAAAATCGTTGTTTGACGATCTCGTGGGTTATTTATTTAAAAGGTGTAGCAGTTGAAGCTGATGGGAGGGCTGAAGCAAGTGTCTTTCATTGTGTATGAAGGCTTGTGTTTGATATTTCCACTCTTACTTCTTAACTATAGTTTTTACATGTGCCAGTTGTATGGTTGACCTTCACAGGCTTTGTCTGAGTTTTGCGAAGGGACAGTTTTTGGTCAAATCTTTTGTGCCACTGGAATGCTGCTTCTCTGTACTGCCCTTTTGCAGGCATTAGGGTTCAGCACTGTGGTTCTGAAGTAAAGTTCTGATGTGTTATTCTGCACTGCTATAGCACACCCTGTGTTGCCTGGTGGTACTAACTTACAGGGGAATGCAAGTGGGTATGACTACTGTGTCTAAATAACGTGACTAAACCTGATTATGAATGCAGCTCAGACAACTCAAAAATAAGTTGTTAGTGTTTTATCAGTAGTGTACTTTGTGACAAAATGATCAGTGGATTTTGAAATCTTTTTTTAAAAAGGAAATTGTTAAGCTACGTTACAAATAATTTCAAAATTAAGTCAGAAGGATACTCTCATACTGAAAAAAATCTAATGATGAAGTGTACATCTTGGTTTTTACTAGTGTAAAATAGGAATGTTGTGCAGTGTATAAAATTAAATAAGAAAACCTTTACACTATGTCTATTACTTTTTTTTATTTAAAATGTCACAAAACTGATTTAGCAGCACTTGTTTTCTATCACTTCATGTAGTAAATTACCTTTTTCAGGCCATTATTTAAATGACTACCTACTGGTATGTAAGAAGTCCCACGAGTTTCATAAGAATATGCTCTTATGTGCATAAATCCATTGCTGAATTGGTACTTGAATCTAAAGCACAGCAACAAAGCCAACAAAGATGTTATGAATGCTTCTAAGCTTGCTTTTTCCTGAGCATCAGTTGCTCTTGTCTCCTGTGATCATGTTGCCCTCACAGCTCTGCTTTAAGAATCAGAAAGTTTCTCTAGCAGACTGCTATCTATCTTTGAGAGTTTGTCCAGAAAGAGGTTAACTTGCTTGAGATTCAAATGGACTTTAACCTCTTCTAAGAAGGCTAGCAAGGGTAAGGGTTCAAGGAAAGCTGAGCTTAATATGCAAGTCCCTCAGGAACTAGGCATAAGAGAGTTAGAATTCTGAGAATACCAGAAAACTGAGATCCCAGAAGAAGAGTTGGGCCGTAAGATTTAGAGAAACGTCAACAGTAGCTCCACGGTGAGGGTCACACTACACAATTCCCCCATCGACTTTCTTTTTGACTGACTCTTTTCTTCTAACTTGCCTTCATTTTGCCCCTCTTTCTTTTTATAGAAATTAGATTGAAACCTCAGACTTCCTAATTAGCCTCTTCATTTGGGGGTTTTCCTCTGTATGTGCTCCCCACCCATACTTTCTTGAAGTGCAATAGTGCTCAGAAGGACATAATCTAAGCTGAGACATTTGCTAAGAGGTCAGTCAGGTTTCTGCTACTTTCTGGGGCATCTGTAACCCTTATGCCTCAGAATAAAAATCAGATTGGATGAATAAAGAGAACTTTGAGCCTCAAGTTGCGCCAAGGAAGTTTTAGATTGGATATTCAGAAAAATTTCTTCACCAAAAGGGTTGTCAGGCTTTGGAACAGGCTGTCCAGGGAAGTAACCAAGTCACCATTCCTGGAGGTAGTTAAAAAACATGTAGAAGTGGCACTGAAGAATATGGTTTAGCCATGGACTTGGCAGTGCTGGGTTAATGGCTGGACTTGATGATCTTAGAGATCTTGTCCAACCAAAATGATTCTGTGATTCTAAAATGAGTAGTGGTGAGTGCTGAGAGACAACATAAATGACAGAAGATAAATGCATTGGTTCTGCAAAACCTTGTAACATTTGGGGAGTACTGATAACTACTCCCTGAAGTCTTTTATCACCATACTTTTTCAAAATGTACTTTGGATTACACTTTGCTTTTCTCATTAATTTTTTTTTATTGTGTCAGTATAGTTTCTGAAGTACATGTTGTATTTGAGATGCAGAAAAAGCAACTCAGTATAGCTTATATTTTCTAATTTGTTTCTTCCTTTTTCTTGTGATTATTTTTTGTGTTGTTGTTTAACTGTGTCCAGGGTTTGAGCTGCTGATTTTTATTTTTTTAATTCTTTTAATAAAGGACATTACAATGACTGGCTCATTTTTCATTCTGGAGTGGTAAATAACTTGGAGACCACCATTGTGTATGCATAGCTTTCTTTTTTTTCCCCTACAAGTGTTCCTTTGTTTTTATTAATGCCTAATTTCTCATTCTGTCTTACCACAAAATGACCAGCTGTCGTAAGTGGTCATAAGGAGCTATTTACAGTCATGTCTAGGCTGAACATTTTTTTAAGGGCTCTTGAGTGTGAGGCATTATTTCCTTTTACAAAACAAGTTAGTTTTACCCACGATAGCTAGTTCTGCTTGTCCAGTAGTGACATCAAAATTACTTACTGGCTGAGTGGGTTAGTATTCATGCTCTTGTTCTTATTTGGATGCCAGTTCCACTTGTTGAAATACCTTTCCTTCTCTCAACATTCCCTTTTGAGGGTTTTGGTCCTTTTAGGAGTTTCTCTCTGAAAACAATTTTCAACATGGTGTCTTTAATTGCTACGTCTACATCTCAATGAACCTTTTTAGTCTCTCTTTAATAATAATCTATGGTTTTATGTTCATTTTTAGAAACTGAATTCTACTGTAGCAGATTATTTTCTGATTCCAGAAGCATTTTACTACCTGAATACTTTGTAGTTACTGTTGAGAATCAGTAACTTCTTTGGTTTTCTCTACTAAACTATTTGATTAGATTCTTTTCTGGTGCACTTCTTAGGTCTTCAGAAAGTTGATATTAAACTAGATTTCAAAGACTAGCTTTTGTAGGCATTCCTTTGGACCAAAGTGTCCATATTATTTATAACTGATTTCCCATCATGGTTGCCCCGTGAGCCATTCATACATTTCCCTTCTCACATCTGTAGTTACTTGAAATGCCCATGTGCAGAAATAATGCTATTTCTTTGTATGCAAATTTTGTTTTAGTTATTATTTACAAGCAAAGTCTGTAGAATTGGAGACCCACTTTTCTTCTGTAGAGTTGGAGACCAACATGTCATCTGTACCTTGAAGAACATCACATATATGGGAAGTAGAAATCTGTCAACCTTTAAGTTATACAAAGCTAAAGACTTATCTTTTTTAAATTATGTTTTCTGGGACTGTAGAAATTGGGCCAGATTGAAAGTTGGTATTTTGGTACTGTTAGCATTCAAAATAACAACCAAATTAATTTCTAAGCTGGAACCAAACAAATAATTATTTTGATCATGTAGTGGAAAGCTTGGATGTCAACAATAACTTCATGTAAGTAAGAACCACAGACAAATTTGGCTTGGAAGGGGCTTCTTCAGTGTCAGATCAAGTTGCCCATATTCATTTTGCATTTCTAATGCTGCAATTTCTGTTGTCTGTCACTGTTTTGGTTTGCAACTCAAAGAAGAGTCAAACTGTCTTTCTTGCACCCTCTCCCTGGGGTAGTGGAGTACAGAAATGAGATCAGTGCTACCTTAGTCTAATATATAAACTGACTTATCAATGATTTCTTGGAAAAAACCCACTGTATAAACGAAGCCTCAGCAAGTACTGTAAAAGCTGTTGCATCAGTGACCTTTTTTTTGCTTCCGTATGTGTAAGATCTTCCCTCTATAAAACTCTCTTTTTTACCTTTTTTTTTTTTGTCATCTTCTTAAGTTCAGTAATATATCTACTACTCGAGCTTCTCTGTCTAGGGAAGATACATCTGTGCCCATAGAATTCTTATTGAAATCTATCAATGCTACATAAATACACTTCTTCCTGGTCTTCTCCTCCTCTGTATCATAATATTATTAAAATGTGTACGTTTAAAAAAAAAATTTAAATAACACTTTTCTTTGATGCTTTCCTTCACAGGAGTCTTTCTACTGCTAGGAGACAGAGACAAAAATGTACACATTTGTTCTAACTGAACAAATTCTTTTTTAAAGGTCTGAATAGATGGCTTGTTTAGACTTCAATAAGGCATAGGCAGATCATATGCTGTGTAAACGTATATGATCTCAAGACTTTATTTGTGTTTCAAGAATTTATAAACTCTTGTTGTATTGAAAGCTTGTAGAACTAGTGTTTTGGTATGTCAACATGGCTACTTGGCTATTGCACTCTTCTTTTACTGGGAGTTATAAAACAAATGTCTTCTTTTTATTAAATATGGTCTTCTAAATGAATGGTTTATCAAATTCTTTTCTTTGAAGCCTTTCATGTTAGATCTGACATTCAAATAGCAGGATTTTATTTGTTTTTTTGACTCATCCTTGGTTCAATTTTCGTTCATTTTACTCTATATTGTTTCCCAGTTATAACGTATTAAAGAGCAGCAATGGTCTAGAATGGAGAAATGTAAAAGTATGCTTTTTTTTTATACTGTAACTTTATCTTCACTGAGTATCTGCTGGCTCATGTCATCGGAACAGAAACTATGTCAGGAGAAGCTCAGATTAGAAATAAGTCTTTAAAATTTCCTTCTTCTCTTTTCTCTTCTAGAGAAATCCAGTAAAGAGATAGAAACATCATAGGTTATCATTCTTACTGATGTCTTGATATGCCCTAACTTTTTTTTCCCTACTTGGATAATTAAATCCTGTACACGATCATTAGTCTTCCAGGATGTTTACAAATCAGCATTTATAGTTTCTCTTCAATTGTGACAGTTGTCTAGGGAGTTGGAGAAGCAAGTAGTACTCTAAATTGCTCCCCTTGTTGGCATGACCTCAGGTAGCTAGGAGGAAGAGGAAAAAAGACCAGAACGACCTTCATATTTGGAATATGAGAAAGAAGACTCTACCTCATAATGTATGAAGGAACAGCAGTTGCCCTCTTTAGAGAAGGTAAAATTACAGTAAAAATATCTTTTCCTATTGCAAATAAAATTGAAGTGGACAACTACATTATCTTATTCTTGGCAATCTGGCCTTTTCCTACTGGCAAGATTGTAGTTCAAACTAGCTGCAACAAATCTTAAAAACATAGATTATTTCATAGAAAAGCTGGGTTGTGTTCATGACTAGTAAAGGAAAAGGTCCTCAATCAACTACTGTCATCTATGAAATTGTGTGTTTTATTTGACAGTGTTATTAGAATGCCTACTTTGTTCTAAAAACTTTTAATTTTTGTTTTTATTGTTGTTGCTTTAGTCTTAGTCTTGGCAGACTTAGACTTTTGTTAATATATAGATATTCCTAAAAATTATTTCAGCTTCTTGTAATAATTCTGAATCTTCTGTCTAGTTTTTTTGTGGTAGGTTTTTTTGGTTGGTTGGTTTGGTGGTTTTGTTTGTTTTATTGTCATTGTTGTTATGATGTTCTTCTTCAGATAAATATTATTTGACAGAAATGTTCAAACATGTTTTGGTTCTAATAGTAAATATTTAGTTTTGCTAAGTGATTTAAAGTTCAGGTTCCCTGTCAAAAAAAGGACTAGAGCAAATCAGGAACATCTGCATTCAAAGTAAATTACTTACTGTTTATAATTCACTTTTTTATTGAAATATTTGCCATGATGCTGACAATTAGATGTGCCACAATATTAGCTTTAGACCACAGTTGCCTGGGAATTGTTTTGTGTCACAGTAGTTCCGTTTTCTGGGCCGTAGAAATCATACTTTTTTAATATATATAAGGGGCAAATATTAGTTATCCCCTGCATTATAGATCCTCTGTAGTTGTTGTAGCTGTAAGTTATTTCTGATGCACACCCCCATCCCTCAACATGAATCATTTAAATATTGCTTTTATACTTTTTTTTTTCCTAGAAAATAATTTTAATAGTATTATTCCTAAAAGTATGCTCTTGAACTTTGATTTAGTTGAGGGGCTTTCTATGCTGAATTCTTTGCAGTCAATCAATTATTTTCTTTTGTGTTAATTTTCAAGTTATACAAATAACTTCTGGGAAACTTAAGTCTTTATATTCATTATTTCACACTCTTCAGAAAAAAGCAGATTAGTACAGGTTAGAGTGATTTGCTTATACATACATACCATCATTTTTGGTGTTTAATCTCCAACTGTTTAATCAAAACACAGATTTCAAGAAATATGAGGTTTGAATTAGTTGCTTAATTGAAACTAGGTAAATTTGTGGTAATTAGACAAGTAATTTGTTTGAAGCAGTCTCCTTGCTGCCCCAAACCTTGCTACTTCATAACAGCTAAAAGGTTTGTGTACATTTTCCAGGGTGTAAACTTATGCTGACCTAGATTTTAAACAAAACTTACACAGACTGAGGCTATGAACTTACGGTTTACATTCATTGCTTTTCAGATATGCCACTGACGACGGATAGGAATTAGCTTTTTACCTAGTAACTGTTTAAAAATATCTACTAATCAGTATCACTCTTGAAGGAATAAGGTTTTAGAGAATTTCTTTTTGGCTATAAACATATATATACTTTTTGTAGAAGCTAGGTAATATTATATGTAAATCAGCAGTTATTTCACATGCTTTGTTAAGTAACTTATGTTCAGCTGAGGAAGGTTTTGACAATTGAATTTCTAGGACAGCACCATAGTTGGGAGTTGAACAATTTCTATCTGACTGTGTGAAGAGTAGATGCTTTCTAGTTGACAGATCTTGTTGAAGACTTCTAATATACTATGGTCAAGTAAACATGTATCAAATTGATTTCATTTACCATCTCTTACTGAAGCAATTTGGTGTTCTCTAATGTTACAGTACTGCACATCTGTGCCATCATGGCATATAATGCCTGTCTGGTGGTGTTACAGCTTGTGGTGCAAAAGTGGGGCTATATAAGTAACTAAATAAATTACTGAGTCATTCAGTGCCTGAGATTACGGTAAGTGTATTTTGAAAAAAATCTTTTTTCACTGTGTTCAACACTGCTTGTCTGTTGGAAAATAGTTTGTAATTCCTGCACTTCCCCATATGTGTATGTGTTTCAATGAGAAGGAATTTTTTCTAAATAAAGATCAATTAACTATGAAAACTTTGTGTATGTGTTTCTTGTTTCCTAACAGCACAACTTGGAGACTATAATGCTTCTGTGCATCATTCAGGATATCTCTCAAATTATAACTTTATACCAGAGCAGAACAAAGATTTTCTTACCAAAGTAGAATCTCTACATGAGCAACACAGGTAATATGAACTTTTACTTCTCTCTCACCTCTTGAGTTTTTAAAGAAAAAACAAGATGTTAAAAGGAAGACTTAGGGTCTTAGTAGTTTTGGTACAATAGCTGTTTATATTTCATTACCTTCTGTTAAGTGAAATAGGTGCTAGCCTAATTATATTCAGAGTATAAGGTTAATGTGTTGAAACATTTAAATAAATATCTAGTTATAATCTCCGGTAAATCAGTTAGCCTTATACATTATTAATGGCAACCATCTAGAACACTGTATTAGATGTTTGAGGAACAAGGACATTTGACCATTTTTCAAATTCTATAGATTTTTTTGTCTATCTGTGTGAAAAAAAAACCAAAACAACAAACAAACCCACCATAACCATAAAACACCTCAATTAATATTGTGCTTTCTCTCCACTCTCATGAGTGTAATATAAATACAACATATTATTCCAGTCAGTGTACTGCTAATTACTCTTTCTGACCCTGATGATTTGTCTCTTGTAAGACTGCAATTTTAGAATTAGAGGTGTTGATCAGATATTTGCAAGCCGAATGCAAATATGCCAATCTAAGAAATTGTCTGTGAACATTTGGGAAAATGAAATCCAAATCTCTATGGACTTGTTTTCTTTGTCTGTATTTTAACTGTAGTAGAGCTAATTCCTCACTCTTTTAGTTTCTTTGATTCATAGCCTGAAATATTTCCATTTTCATCTCCTCCTAATGTTCCTCAGCTCTTTTTTTTATCTTTCAATACTCTTACCTCTCCCTCTTGTTTTTTTACTGATAGTGGGTGTAGTGAATAGTTCTGAATTTCACGTGTTCCCTAGCAGTCCAGAACATGCATTGGCATTTATGAAGTAGAGGAGAGATAACCACTGAACTCTTAACTGCAACTTCCCTTCTGATGTAGATACTAATCTTGATTGCTTTCATAGCAGTTCATATTCAGAAGCACAGCAGCTGATGCCTCTACTCCTTCCATATTAATTTGCAGTTTCCAGTGGGCTCAGTAGTTTTTAGAGGGGGACTTGTGGACAGGAAAAAAATAAATCTGCTTGTCTTTAGGAAGCAGTCATCTTGGAGGGAAGATTCTCAAGAGACTCGAAGTGGTTGGGTTGAACTCATATCTTTAGTGCTATGGTAGCAAGAGATATAAAACTGGTTATGTCCTACAGAGACCAGAAGGTACCTTTGGTCCTAAGATGTGGTGGAGTCTGTCTTTTCAATGAAATCAATGCTTTTATTGAGTGACTGTGGCAGAGTGAACCCTTGATGACTGAGAAGTTTAACTGCTGTATTTGAATTAGCGTAGATTGTGGTATTTGAAGTTCTGAATAAAAATACTGAGTAGACTGGACTAGAAGAAATATTTATTGTTTTAACACCTTTTTTTAAACTTGGCTCTTCAGGCCTATTTAATTCAGAGTGCAGGGAGAGGCAGACAAGTTATTATTTATCCTGGCAGTATTTCTTGCATACTCCTTTGGCGTGTATAGAGAATACTTAGGTCTGAGACATGATTTTGACTAATTCAATGCCATAATATGCTTGAAGAGAATGGTTCTGGTGCTCACCAGGCCTTTGGGAAGGAAAGACAGAAGGGGAGAATTTACTTTCTTACCCTTTGAGGAGAACATTCTTGCTTTGGAATGAGATTTCTGCTGATCTGTAGCAAATAATATTTGCTGTAGACCATATAAGTTATCTGTAAATTATTGAACCTTTGAATTAGTATCCTTAGATTACAGGATTTTCATTCTTTAGTGTCTGTCCTTTAGGAAACTTTCACAAAGGAAGATTAAAAGGCTTGAATTGGTGAAACACACAGACTTGAGAAGTTATGTCTTGTGTGTTGTAACTCGATGCAAGATTTTTGTTACCCAGGATTTATGTTACTTTGCAAACCTGAGGAAGTAGTTCTCTGAACATGTTCATGGCAGACACTATTCAATGGACAGTACATAACTGCTGAGAAAGTCACTGTTGTCATATTGAACTGGTATAGCTTCAGAAATTTTTCTTCTGTATTCATCCCTAAAACCGTGTGGGGGGGTTATGTATGTAGGTTCTTCTAACATGGTTTCCTTTTTTGTTTCTTGTTTAGTGCATAAGCAGCCTGAGATCTTAGGATGAAAACATTGTCCAAATTTATAAAGTTTTTGTATTACTTGCAAGATCCAGCCATCAGTTTGAGGAGAAGGATGCATTTGAAGCTTCATAGGATGCTTATATATATGCCAGATAAGATTTGTTAGGCCTTGGGTATCAACAGCTATAAAAATTGGGAAGAGACACCAAGACCAGTTTCCTCTTGCCTGTTTATCTCACCAAATAACTACCATCTGCTTAGGGACCTCAAAGTTTTGTTTCATCTGTAATTGAGTAGGAGGGTGTAACAAAAAACCCCATAAGTCTGTGCTGAGATACTTTTTCTTGTTGGCCTTTTAAGATACAAGGTCAGGTGTGGATGACATATGCAAATTGAGAATTAACATTTACAGACATTTCTTGTTGGTATGCAACAGACTTTCTGAACAAAATTCTTGATCAATTTTTTTTAAATGAAGGTGATGTACTCTTGCAAATATATTCAGCATCCTATAGTATAATAATTTTTTTGTTTTTTGTCCTTACTCTTTTTTTCCAATATTGTGATATCCTCAAGCCACACTACTGGCTATTGCTTTCAAATTCAAGGTAGCTTTAAGTTTCCTGGAGCATGATCTAATATTTCCTCAAGTGTCTGTTTCAAGGCATAGTGTTTTGATGGCTTGGCATTTAAAAGGATGGATATTAATTGGAAGTAATAGATGCCTACCTTTTGAGTTAAAACCTCTTTCAAAAATGAGAATTACTGAGTTATGTGGAATGCCTTTGTAGCTGCAGTTCTTAACACAATGTTATGTCAGCTTTTTGCAGGTTCTATTTAAATTGGGTTTGATTAACATAATTTGATGCATGTCATTTTGGAAGCTTACCTAGCAAAGTGTTGTTTTTACCTGCACTTAGTTGTAGATATGACAGGATGATATCAGATGTCTTTTCTACTTAAGTGTGTGCAGATATTACATGCATCACTCAGCTTCTGTTCTCACAGTTACTGCAATGGGGTGTAGCAGTGCCTGAATCACTGCTCTGTGCTGTGAGTCCAGGATCACTGTGGGCACAGCACAATGTCAGTAGGCTATGGCAGATTCCAGGATAGAGCTGCCTCTTGTCTGATTGTTTCTTTACAGGTCTTGGCCCTGCAGTTTATTGGAGAGGACTACTTTCATTATCACACCTAAAGGAATCTTGTTTAGGCCTCGTTGCATTCCTCTCATGTGAATGATTAGTAGGCTGCGTGGGAGAACCAGCTAAATGGGGATCACTGATGAACTCTTTGGGTTTTAAAACTCTTAGTAGATTCTATCCTTCCATAAGGATACGTAACCTGATTATTGAAGGTGTGGGGATTTTTGATTTTTTTGTGTCTGTTAAAAAAAAAAAATTAAAAAAATGTGTAAGTCTCAGAATTGTAGAAGCTTTCTAGAAGATCAGAAGATCAAATCCTTGTATGTCTTGCTGCACATAGCAGCAGGAGAAAGAAGTATTTTAGGACTTATAGATTGTAGGTAAACTCAGATGGCTTTTCCTTGGTGAGTTTCATAACTTTATTAATCTACTTTCTCCCTTTTATTTTATTAATACATTCCTGCTGCTAATCTTTCTTCTAAATGACTTCCTTCTGAGGGACCATGTAATATAGAATATTTACAGATAAAGCTTCTTGCTGTAAAGTAAGGTTTTAGGGGAGTAGTTTCCTCATACCTTTGAACATAAGAGATAAAAATTATTTTTCTAAAAAGAGCTGGTCCAGAATGGCTAAGGTAATAACATTGTGTATAATTTGCTCAATTTTTTGATAGGACTTTAGGAGGATTTTCTCCAGTGAAGAACTTGTGGTACTAGTTAGTGAGATTTATTTCTCAGACAGTGGGCTTTGGGATTCTTCTCTTTTTCTGCCTTTAAACAAATACAATATAATTTTTTTTATTTGCCTGTGGTTCATATTTATTATTTTTCCCCTCTTTTAGTGGCCTCAAGCAATCTGAAGCAGAGTCCTGCTATATAAATATAGCACGAACACTTGAATTCTATGGAGTGGAATTGCACAGTGGTAGAGTATGTTTATATTGTAATTTTTCACTTGGAAAATAAATTCATATTCTTTTTTTTTTCACATGAATGTAATAGCAGTAAAAAAAAAAGTACTGACTTTACCAGGTGTTCCTTCTAATTATAAGAGTTGGGTAATTTTTCAGTAATTTCTGTGTAACATAGGTGTTGGAATTTCAACCAAATAAGCTAGCTCTCCTTGAAAGAGTAACAATGTATTTTTAAGATAAATTGTTTCATTACTACAATATATTTTACTTAATAATTTTAGTAAAGTTTCTGAATGTCTTAGCACAAAAGAAGATGAATGCTCTGTTCTGTACTGTTAGTTGGCAGGTGTTTTAAGAATTAAATTTAAGAATTAATCTGAATTTCTAACACTAATTTCTTAAGTGTTAAGAATACAGAGATTTCTTTTAAAATTCCTTTATTCCCTGACACCAGGCTAAATCTAAGCAGTATTTAGCAGCTTGAGTGATGACCACTAAAAATGTATTTGAAATCTTTCAGATACGGGGTGTGCATTGATGAGAAACATGCCCTAGTATTTCACTAGTACTGGCATTTAATTGTCTGATCACACTATTCATTTGAGGCGAATCCCCAAAATTCTTTTTTATTGGCATTCCAGTGCACAAGTTACCGTTTGTGCTTATATCTAATAGTAAATTGTTTTGGCATAAAGCTTGTAGTATAAAAACTAAATTAAGTGACTGCAGATGAATGATATCCTCAATGAAGATGACTATTGTTTTTTCTAACATTTTTCTGAGTTTTGCTAATAATTCTGACACTGAGAATTTTAATGAAAAACTCATAAATTTCTGAATGATGAGGAAGGAATACAATAACTAAGTTACTTTCTTCGACGTGATGCTTTCTTCTGTTTTTTCTTTATACTACCACAAATAAGTGAGTGTTGCATTAGATGTCTAGGAATTCCTAAAGTACTCCTGTGTGAAGCCACTGTAACTACATTCAAATTATGAAATACAATGCTCAAACAGTAGAGGCTTTTCTTAAAAATACGGAAAAATACAAAGGAAAGGAAATAATTAAAGTGCTCCATCTCATATGAGTATCAGGAGAGGCATCTGTTAAATGTGATCAGATATCTTCCTTCACGTACATTGGTTGTGTGTAAGTAATGTAGCATATATGAACAAATTTCTTGTGTTCTTGTGTCTTCTGACAATGTAAAAACTTTCATGATTTCTAGTAAAAACCTTCTTGATTTCTAGGAAGTAATTAACTTTAAATGGCAAATGGGCATCTTATTAAATTTGACTTTGCCTAGGTTCATTTTCTATTGGGTCATCTGCCACCTTTCTGCTTTATTGATGAACTCTTTACTGTTACACTTGAGATTTCCCTATATACACTTAACTTGATCAGTCTACGCCTTTTAGCTTCTACTCTAGCCTAGTATTTTGATAAACCAACTTAAGTTCCAAGACTATCACTATGTGGCTATTCTCTTAATATTCATGGGATGCTATCTCTGAAAATTCTTCCGGTTTTCATTATTCTTCCTGAGTTGTAAGCCACTGAACTACATGCAGGATGTCAGTAGTCATCATGCCGGTGCCAAGTAGTGAAGATAAAGTTGACTCAGACATTTTCAACTAAAGGAAATTTCATTGCAGTGTACTGGGCTGCTCTGTCTCAGCAGAAATACCTTCTGAAGATATCTGCCTAAACAGTGTTTTGTTGGTTGTTTTTTTTTCTTTCCCTAATGCATTGTTTCATATTTAATGACCTCAGTCTCACAGGTTGTCAGAATATTAGTCATGAACTCCTACCCTGCTTGACACTGAACTGTATGATCTGAATCAATTAGAGTACAGATTTGAATCAAAGCCTAGTCTATTCCAGACTGCTAAAATGCAGACTGTCTTGCTACTGTTTCAATCCAAAATAATATTTTCATCACAATTCAATTTTTTTTGAAGCATGAAATGTTTGAAGTGATCTATTTTTTCTGGCACTTGAACTGAAGATCTAGACATTTAGAAACTGCTAGGAAGGTAATAGAAAGCAAAACAGAAAATATCATGCTACCTTTTAAATCTGAGTTTTGATATAATTTGAATGTTGAGCTTCATTCTTCCACTCCCTTCCTTATCTCAAAGTGGGTAATGGAAAAAGAAAAATACAGAGAAGTATAATAATCGTGAATGTCTTAAGGAAAAGCCTTCTGTAGCAGGTGAATAGCATGCAAAATGTGAATAGCCAACAATTTTTAATTTTTTTACTTTTATTTTTTTGCTTTGGTACTAAAAGATTTACAAAACTTCAGTCTACCTACAAAGTGACAGGTTTAAGTAAAAGGAACTTTTTTCATATGGCTGCAGTTGAACTGTAGGCATTACTGCTATTTTAATGGACGACCAAGGTGAATTAGGTATCAGGAGCAGTTAGACAGTCAGTGGAAGAATGATTCACTGGGGTCCATTAAACATCCAAGAAATCCTCTAGCTATAAGGCACCACAAGCTGAGAAGAGGCATTATTTATTAGTAGGAGTGTAATTGGTTGTCTCTGGAATTTGGTACTTACAAAACATCAGTTACAAGTCATTATTTGGACTGAATGCCATGAGGTAAACCTCTCAGCCAACATGTTATTGTTGATTATGTTCCTCAAGGCCTACAAAAAGTTTGCATTGAAGGTTAGATTTCTCCCCCAATATGCTGCTTCTTCACAGAGGCTACCCCTGCTTTGGCACAGATGTTTGCAGTGCCTCCTGATGTCCTCCCCCTACTTGTACTGCTCCTTAAATCAGCCTTCCAGTTTTCTCACATCCTAGTGCTTTGAACAGATTTGGCAGGGGCTAATTAAACTGTGGCTTTGTGAAAGGCTTTATATCTGTGGATTCTGATGATTGAGGTCTTTACTACTAAGCTAGTCTTAGTCCTCTTAGATTGTGTATGGCAGAAGAACCAGGTAACACCCGGCTCTTATACAACGGCCAGAAGAAGCTGGTGCTCCTGTACTGCTGCTTGAGAGTGGAATACTTTTGGATAATGTTTCTTGAAGACCAGATGAATATATAATTTCCTCATTTATTTTCATGATACAAAGTTAAATATTTTCCAGAAGCTGAGTGTGAGCTTTCTTTTTAGCAACTTGCTAAACATGGAACTTTAATCTGAGCTCAGTTTTTGTCAGCAAACACTTCTGCTTTTTTCTGATGATAAATCTGAACTGCTAAAATTGTAGTATTTAAAAATGAAATAGTTTTATGAAACTCAGGAGAGTGAATTCAATATCTTAAAACTGTATTGACATTTCTTGAATTCCTAATCTCCTTTTGACTCTGGACCACTATCTCATTGGCTCAATAATTAGTCTGCTGTTGTCATCTTTCATTTTTACTCAGAGACTCAAAGATAGGAAATTTGTTGAATTAGTATTATTTCCATATCTACCAAAATCAAGATGGTAATGGTAAATTAAATCAAATCTGAATCAGTACTTAATGATCTACATGCTCATGATAATTTTGGCATGATAATTTTTTATCTTTACAACTTTTTTTTATTATTATTTCTTTCATGTTACCTGTTTCTTTTTACAAACAGATGCATGTTATTTCTTTGCTGTGCAATTTAACAGCATAGATATTTTGAAGGGAAATAACTGCACATCAACATCATATTTCTTTTGGAGACCCTCTCTTTATGCTAGTCCAAGATCTAGGTTACAATAACAAATAACAAATAGCATGGGAGGTTAGTGGTTTGTACTGGTGCAGAGAGAGGGGTAGGGAATGAACTTTGTTCTGACAAAGCTCTTGGAGAAAATAGAGTAGTTTAGCCTAATTAATCCCTATCAAATGTTTAGCTAATCCTTTATTTATACTAAATCATTTCAATTTTCAGCTTTCTCCTAAAGCTGTTTTTCAAGGCAGAGACAGCTTAATTACATGCAGTTCATCTCCTGAAATACCTCAGTTTTCTCCCCATACATTAAAATAAAGGGGTGTCAGTTCTTAATTCCTGTATTATGCTGGCATAAACTGGCACTTTGGGAGCTTCTTCCAATGAAGATTCAACCAACTCCTCTAGCAGAAGTTCTTGGCAAAGTGAGGCAGTAGTGTGCTGAGGGTTCTGGGTTACTTTGAGTGTATTTGGCCTGCTACCTATTTACTGATTTTTCTTTTTCTATTCTCTCAGAGACAGGTCTGGTATTCCTCTCATCTTGCTAGAATTCAGTGCGCCAGTATTCAGTGTTAATGCACAGTGTATTAAACAGGTTGTGCTCATTCTCTGTGAACCACTGTGGTATTTCACTAAAGGTTTATAAATCACTTTGCAAATTTGGTTAAGCTTCACTTATTCATATGCCTGAATCACTTCTATTCAACTGTTTTTGAGGGATTTATTGTAGACTTTCTACAGTATTGTCAGAACACATGCTACCTGTTCTATTCTTCTGTACCTTACTAATATAGAGAAATTGGGATTGGACATGGAGGAAAACTATATATTAATTGAGGACAGAGTACCATCTAGAGGAGCAGCTATGCTACTGAAGGCTTTCAGAGAATCCATTACCATTGGCAATCCTTTACAAAACAGTCTGAAACTGCTTTTGAGTCAAACCTGATATTTTAAACAGTGGGTTCTACTCTTACATGTGGATTTATATAGCTGTTGAGCTCTGTTTAGAAATTTGTGTAATAACATATTAGTATGTATCGATCATAAGAAATAGGAAGCCAATACTTCTAACTTCTGTAACATCAATGAGGGTTTATACCGAAAGTGACCATCCAGAGTCCTCCTCTCTCTCTTTTTTCTTATTTTTTTTAAACTCAAATATCTGCTTATATGGAAGAATGTGTTTTCTCTTGAGTATCTCAATACCTGGAAAACATTATAAATTTATGATTTTTTTTTCCCACTTGAGCATTAAGGAAATGCACCATTTTTGTTTAGTTAATAATGGATTTAGTTGAGTGTATCAAAGATTCATGTATACATGTATATCTCTCCAACATACTCTCATATGCAAAATTGTGGTCATCTCTCCTGTCAGTCTTTATTGCTAAGACTTTTTTTTGGAAAAAGTAAGGAATTATTTTCCCTCTCTTTTTAAACTGCTTATAATCAGGAATTTTGTATTCAGTTCCCAAAATTCTGTGACATTTATCTAACTGATCTTGGGAAGTACTTCAACTTCTTTTTTATGCTGAAATTAATAAGGCTAGACTTGCGAATTTAGTTTGATACTGACCTAAAGAATATCCAGTGTAGTAGGATGGACTTTACAACTTGTTTTACTGAATGAAATTTAGAATACCTATTAGATAACATCAAAGGAAAGAGAGGCATGAAAACCAAAGCTCAAATATGTTGTTGAATTTTTTCCTCAAGAATAGCAATTTAAATCTAGAAAGCTTGAAAATTAAATTTATGAGTAGATAAATGGGAATGACACAAACTGCATCTGTATTCTTGCAATGTCTTTCTCTTGCAGGATCTCCATAATCTAGATCTTATGATTGGGATTGCATCTGGTGGAATTGCTGTATACAGAAAACTCATCTGTACAAGCTTCTATGCCTGGTAAATTCCTTTACTAGTAAAGAAATATGTCTAATTTTTTCCAACTTTTTTCCATTTGCTTTCACATTTATTCCAAAGAAGCCTACAGTAGGTAAATTTGTTCTTTATGGAGTATCGTTGTATTTCGTTGTGTTGAGATAAAAATGAAACCTGTTGCCTAGGCTTTTAATTCCATAAGGCTTCTGAACTTCTTGCACTGTGTGAAGTCTTGATAAAGTTAATTCACATACAAGTATGTGTACATGATTAGGAGGACCCTGTGATCTTAGAGATTTTTTGCTGTTATGCTCAATAATATGTCTTTAAAAAAAACTCAGAAAAACAAAACAAGAAACAAAACCAATAAGCACTACTATTAAAGCTCAGCAGGTAACTATCTGAACATTTTATCCTGACATTCAGAAAGAAGATATTTTCTTCTTCGAAAAGAAACATAAAATGAGTTATTTGGTGTTTGAGATATACTGGAACTAGGATAATATGATTTAGGCAAATTTCTAAATGTCAGCAAAAAAGGCTATATAACATTAACAAGGTTTGGAATCAGCAGGGGAGAGACCTTTACATTATTCTTTAATACTGAAAACATTAGAATGCATGATACTGTCATAGAAAATAATCTCTACAAAAAACAATGTGCACTAGAAATCTAAAGTGAATGACATGAGAAATTATTTAAGCTATAGTTTTTGATAGTACTTTTGGGCTTTATTAGTTATACCATGCTAAAAATGATAACATAAATTAGAAAATTATATGGAGGCTGGGCATCATAAGGTTTTTGGATTGAATCAGAATGGATTTTTCTCAGTCTTTCTTTTTTAAAGTAAGGATGAATTTGTTTTTTATACTTGATAAACTATAACTTTGTCTTGTTATGCATAATTTCTTCATATGTTTTGTAACCATTTTTCTGGAGAACTGTTTCCGTAAGATGATATACTGTTCTTAATTATGACAGAAAAATGCACCCTAATGCATTCTACTTGCTTTTTGCCCCTTAGAGACAGTCCTTAGAAGCATTCTTTAAATACTTGAGTCATTCCATCCTTTCATTTATGAACCCAACTAAACAGCTATTTCCTATAGAAAAGCAATAAAATCAGCTTCAATTTAAATTTTAGTGGAGAATAAATAGTGCAGAGTCTCTGGATTTTTCTTTTTTAATTTGCTGTCAGTTGCATTTCAACTCCCTTGGTTGTACTGCAGTCATCCTAGATAAATGTATGTCAGTAATAATGCTCTCACACAGCAGCACAGTGAAAACTTATGGGTTTCCATTGCTAATGCACATTAAAGCACAAAAGACTTTTATTTTTCATCTTTGTACCCTGGGCGTTGCTCTTTCATACCTCAATCTCTCGGCTTCTTTAAACAACTGCAGGTTTTAAAAACTGTCAGCTGGAGGCACATTTTCTGTCTTCTGCAAGTCTTGTTCTGCTAACTTAGTGACCTAAGTAAGGTATGAATGGATAATAGTTATTTCTGAAAACCATAGCAATGGCATTTTAAAATCTTTGACTATATGATTATTTTAGAGAAGGGAAAGAGAGTTTATAGCACACAAGACAGGAGGAATCCACAACTTCCTGTGCTACTTTTACTCCTGGAAAGCACAGAGGAATAAAATACAGGCCTATTCTCATTTACAGGAAGAAGTTGAGGGGGAAAAAAAAACCCACAGGTTTTTCAGTTCAGATAACTTCCACTTTAAAATAAAAGGTTTAGGCAGTAATATTTTCAGCTGACAGCTATTGCAATTGTTCCCAAGCTGTCCTACACAGTCTCCCTCTCCCTCTCTCTCTGAGAATATCTTCTCAACTTGAAAACAAGAGCTCCCTATATAGGGGCTAATTTTTGATATTTTATTTCTGGCATCTTGCACAGGTTAGTCATAATTCTTCATGAAAGAATGGTGTCCATTCCCTGCTCCCCTCCAAAACAAGCAAACACCGAAAGTCACCACCGCAGAGTAGCTTGGGGTGCATTTGTAGTATGCACTCTCACTTTCATTTTAGACTTCAAAGGAGAATATATTTCTATAATGCCCTTTCACCTGATTGAAGTGGTACTTATTTAGGCTTTTTATGTAACACTATTTGTACTAAATAGTTTTTCCTACGTCACTATTAATATGATAGAACTCAAGGTGGCAGCAAACACCATCAAGACGCTCTTTCCAAAATTTTAAGTAAAGTACTCTATAGCATTAATGGATGACAACAATACAACTATGCCATATGGTAGTAGTCAAAGGGGACCAAAAGTTTTCTGGAACAGAAGCAGTGAGAATTTTGCTTTGGCAAAAGGAGGATTTTCAATCAAAGCAACCTACGTGAGAAGCTGACTGATCACTCAGAGGCAATGCAAGCTAAGATAGGTTTAAAAAATAACTCCAGATATAACACAGTATTTTATGTGCTCTGGAAAGTTATTCCTGAGGGTGCTTAACTGTTCTGTGGTAATTTCCAAATTGATTTTGCAGGTAAAGTATTATCTTAATGGCAAAGACATACAAACACTCTCTACATCAGCAGCAATTAAGGTTATTTATTAAATACTATTCTGTGTATGCAGTTTCATTGCTTTGAAAGCTTCAGAGAAACTGCTAGAGGAATGCATACTGCAGTGCTAGTCAAAATTTGAAAAACATCTCAACTACCTTGAATAACAAATTTGACAGAACCTTTCCTACTGAATCTGTCAATGGCAAAGTGTGAACTTACGGGTAAAGAAACATTTTTTTCTTCGGGTCACAAGTACCAACTGCTAGTACTAAGTACTAGGACAGGACTGGCAGTTTAATCAGAAAGTAGCAATTATGTGGCCCACTGAGTGACAAATCTATTTTGATCCTATGAATGACAGGAAGATGGGACCCAAAAGATGTATCATTTTTAATATGTTACAACTATGAAGTGCTTTATAAGTAGACCATGAAATTTAATGATTTGTGAATGTTGCTTAGTCACTGGACAGACTATTGGTGAGAGAGGACAGCTGAGCCACCAGTTAGAATAACAGTAACTGCCTTCTATTCAGATAATTTTTGATTATGGCATCTTCAAGCACTTGTTAAATCTAAATCCTTTGATCCCTTAATCTCTTGGATCTTTTTATCGTCTTTCTTGGATCCTTTGGATTTTGCTGGATATGAACATTCACTCAATTTGTAGGCATAACGTTGCAAATGATTTTTAGTTAATGCTAAATAAAACTGTCAGATTAACAAGTGTTCTTTGTCCCTGAACTAAATAGGTTTAGTTGTACTTTAAGAAGAATGAAGGGAATTGAGAGGGGTGCTCTACTTAGAGGAGTGTAAAAATAAAGAGAATTAAAGCCCTGATTTGGTTTGAAGTGATTATGTGATCATGCAGTGAATCAAGGTTTAAAAAAAAAAAAACAGGGAATAGAGCAGAGAGATTAAGAGAGTTTTAGTATTTTGGGATGCTGGCTCCCTTTTTGTTCTTGGGTGGAGGAGTTTTTGCTTAGTCTGCAAGGTTACGTTTTTGTGTCCTGCATTTCTGCTGGCTCGATGTTAGGATAAGAGCAGATCATGGAAGCAACTGTGCAAGCTGAGAATGACTGCAAAAATTTGTTTGTTGAAGTTTAATCTAAGTCAAGAAATGTGGTAAGAACGAACCAGAAGCACAAAACTTGAGTGCTACTAGTTCAAGCAGAGTAGCACTAGAATCAAGGAAGGATTTATATATAATGGGTTGCAACTTTTCATTGATTTGCACACTGGTTTACCTGGTTGTGAAAGAATAGTGTTAATAAAATTCTTGTTTCTCTGTGGTTCTGTAATTGATGGAGAAAAGCATTTTCTGAAATTGGTACATACTCAATTTTCCACCTCTTGTGCAGGAACGGGGATTGTTCATTGCATTACCTTTCTTGTTAGTAACTGGCAAATATATTGTCCTGTATTCAGGAATGATGTTGCTCTATAACTCAAGTGCATCTCCCATGGGCAGTGGGGAATGAATTTTACGCCATTTATCCCGCTTGCTGAGAGTCATGCAAGAACTGAGATGACTTTCAAAATAGTTCATACCTGATGATATCTAATGTCCTGTGAAACAGTCTCATCAACAGGACTTTCAGCAGCAAACTTCCAAAACCCTTTTATGATTTTTTTCCTTACAAGTATGACTTGATCAAAACTTAAAAAGATTTCCTTTAGGCATCCATATGATTCCAGATGACCACAAGAGAATTCTTTTTTCTGAAAAATGTAGCTTTTCAGTTACTGAAGTAGAACTACAGCAGAGAAAAATTAGGTATTTTAGACAAATCTTGTTTTGCTGTAGGAAGGTGCGTAGGTAGGTAGAATTTTGTTTAATTTAGCAAAACTGATAAGCTCATAATTAAAATGAAAATTGCTTGAGCACCAATTCCAATTGTAATCTTTACCTTATAAAATATGTGTTCATACTGTGTATATGTAGACAAGAGGTGTTCAGTTCTAAAATTACCACATAATTTACATAGCAATGTTAATGAAGTGAAAAATATATTAACACTCTTTCTTACAGTTTTCATTCTTCTACAATTATGATTTTATCTACAAGATGTGTTTCGTTATTAACACAAGTACACAATATTTTTCACATTATGAAGTCAGTTCTGTGAAGCCTCTGGGAAGTTTCCATTGTTGTATGACCAACCTTGTCATGTCTTTAGGGTCTTAAATTTTGTTCCTTTAGTCACAGTTGTCATATGACTCTAAAGTTATACAAAACTTGACACATTTAACATTTGTGCAGCTTAGTAAAAGGATGTCATCAAGCTTTTGCTGCAAGAATAGATTTGGTGGGAGAGAACTGCTGTGAACTATTTAAAGAGTAAATGAGGATATCTATTTGCCACTCAACACAGGAGATGGCTGCATAATATTCATTGAATATTTAACAGCTATAATCTTTCGGGCTCACTGTATGCAGTATTATTTTTCATTGTTTTATCCCTCTAAATATTATTCAATATTTTATGGTCTGTTTCTTTCTTTTAGGGTGAACATATTAAAAATTTCCTTTAAAAGGAAAAAGTTTTTTATACAACAACGGCAGAAACATGTAAGTAATCATCTAATTTTGTTTTGGTCAGGTGATCATACTCAATATTTTTGCCTTACATATAAGCAATAAAGTGCTGATCAAAAGCTTCTTTTGTGGTAACTTGCCTTTGAAATTCTGGTTTTTCTAACTTGGTCTTGCTATTCTGGTCCTCTTATCTTCTCTGTTTCCCATTTTTTGTTTCCTTTTCAACACTGAATCCTTCCACTTTTGGTCTATTACACTGTATCTTTCCTATGAAGGTTTCTTCTCCCTTGGAGACTTGGGATAAATGCAGGTCTCCATCTTTTCTCCAATATTTATTAAACTAGCATATTTCCTTTTTCTTGCCAGCATCTGCTGCTTTTTCTTTTGTCGCTCTCCCTGCCCTGTAGAGTTACTCAATGCAGTGAATCTACTAAACAACTGCTGTGTGTAACATGGAGGGCTTCAGAAGTTGGCAAAGTATGTGAAGATATTTGATAAAACTAATGTAATTTTTCTGCTGTTAAGGGTTTGCTTCATAATGCTGTGTGCTCTTTGCAGAGCAGCTGAAATATTAGTCTATTTAATGGGAGGGGGGAATCTTGATTACTGATTATTATTGTGCTGACACAATACAAAAATAAATTAAGATATCTTTTTACAAAGACCATAGAATATTTAATATGACAGTAAAAACCAAAAAAACCCCTGCAGAAACTAGGGACCAGCAGACGTATAAGTATTTTAATTCAGTTCAAGACAGAACTCAGACATAGTAAAACTATTAACTTATAGCTAAACTTCATGAAGGCTCTTTCTGGCTCTTTCTTAAACTGATAGGAGCTGTGTTACAAGAAGACCTCATGACCCACATATACTAGAGAGTCTGCTAAACACAGGTTTCTATAGAGACTTTTTTTACCCAAAAGAAAAATATTTTCATATTATTTCTTTCCTGTATGTCCTTCTTTTTTCCCAGTTTGGTGGGTTCTTTGAAATTTGAGTAGTGTGCAAGCATGTACATGTTGTTACTGCTCAGGATTCACATGTAAACCAAGTTAGTATCTAGAGAGGGTGTTACTGCACTAATGCTTGCACAGATGCATAGCATGCATAGAGTGCATCCCAACCAAATCTAAGGGGATATTCAGGTTTTTTGTTATCTGTAAGTTTCTAAATATATGGTTTATATGCAAACATGTCACAGTCTGTTCATATGTATTTCACTGCATGAAGAAAGGAGGGCTTGGCAAATTAGTGGTTTGTGAGTGCAATAATATTACACTTGCAAGTATTACCTTCCTCTGGGTTTGCGGGTTAAAAATTCACTGATAAATCTAAATAGCTTCATATACACAAATATGGAAGGCTTATGGGCAGCAATTTCCAGATGTGCCTGTGAGAATAAATGTAGTAACAGAACTCTTTGAGAGTGATTAGTAAAATGGAGGTTGGAACTACATGATCTTCAAGGTCCCTTCCAACCCAAACCATTCTTTGATACTTACAGTGTTTTTGAAATATGGAAAAATGAAGTGTCCATAGACAACAGTCTCTGTACTTAATATAAAATATCTGTATTCATTACATAAAGAAAGACTTGACTGCGGTCAAAAAATGAATTTTTCTTTCTGGAGACTTGTGTCACCTTTGAAGAGAGCAGCAATTTTAATTTGTTAAATTAAACATTTGATAAGTGATAGTTCAAGGCTCTTGATTCTTTTAACTTATCTCCCCTTAAGTGATCATAATTCTTTGGTTTTTATCTATGTAGATTACAGTAATACACACAGTATTATGCTTAAAAAGCTACAGAAAAAGAAGGCTAGCTGCATGACCTTTTTATTCTTTCTCAGTGCCTACTAGAAAGCAGACCAGGTGTACTACTAAATCTGTGGATATACCCATCCTTGTCAGCCCCCTTTGCTTGGAAGTTAGGGCAGTAAGTCTGCAGTACTCCAGTGGTATTGCTTGAAAAAACTTACTGATGCAGTGCATTGGGAGTGAAGTCCTGGGGGGTTTTGCCAGAACAGTGGGTCACTTGAGGGGCTTGTGAGGGCAGATGACTGAGTTGGTGTGAGTCTTTGGATTGATTAGCTCCTCGCTTGGAAATACAGGAGGAAATAATAAATGAGGTCGAAAGTAAGGAAGATGAAAGAATGTGGGGAAAACAGAGCAGATACTGTATTTTCATAGACAAGGTTTGACTAAAGATGATCATAGTGCTATAGCACTTCTTTTATGTTTTGTATGTCATATGTATATTCTTTACAAAAATCTACAGGAAGCTCTCAAAGGCAATGAGTTTGCAGTCCTCTGGGATCTGCCATGTTCCATTGATTTATTCTCCTTATTTCTTTTACTTCATTTTTCTTTTCTTATGTGCCTTTTTTGAAAACCCAACTTACCTTATCTCACTCTTTTCCTGCTACTTGCATTCTCTTTTACCCTCCTACTGCTTCAGTCCATTGATCAGCTACTTGATTAGGAGTATGCAGTATTCAGTTTCTACTGAAGAGGTAGGTAAGGACTGGGGAGCAAGACTGCTGAATCAGTGAGTGTCTGTTGCTATAAAGTCTTGCACCCTTCATTATGTCTACATCAGATTTAAGGTAGGAATAGGAACTGTGCTGTTTACAAACAACATTTTGAACCTTTCAGAAACAAAATTTTCTTTTCAGTGTGCTTATATAATGCTTGAAGACAACTTCATTTTCTGCATATTAAAATATATCTTTACTTTCTATGTTGTAGATATTTTCAGGTATGTGATAAGCATACAACTGATGCAAAGTTCTTCCATATGCTGAACTAGCAAGACACTCACTTTAGCTATAGAGGATTGTTTTCTTTACCTTAATGGCCACAAAATTCTCTAATCCCCATTTCTTGGTAATTATTAAAATGCCATTTTTGGAACTTGAGAGGTATGATGGGTATTAGATCCTTGGATTCCACTAGAACTCTCTTCACCTTTAAAACAGATTCAATAGCATGACTTGCAATGGTAGCCGTTAGTGAGGCAGATTATGTAAATATAAAAATTGAATAAGTTTTTCTGCAACTTCTGAAAATATTTTTCCTACTTTAAGTTCATATTAAAACTCTTAGCTTGCTTAGAGCCTGCTAAGAAGTTTCAGTGATAACAGTTGGGAAAAACACACTTGTTTTAAATTTACATAAATTTAAAAACAATATTAGGTGTACTTAATTCTTTATCTTTACATTATGGCTTTTCAGGATGATTGAGATGTTTGGGTAAAATAATTTTTGTGGCAATTGAAAAGCTAGTGCTTCAGGCCAACAAAAATATCTATACACTTCAATTTTTTTGTCTACTGGAGTAGTAAACCCTTCAAGTGGTATTCAACCAATAGGAAGTATGTCAGAAATGGCATTTGTCATAAAGTCTTTCACTGATGTGTGCTTTTTATATTTCAAGAAATTCTGGGTTAAAGTGGGCAAGCATAATTATATCTTATTTTATATAAGCTACTCAGAAGCAACTGTGGAGAACTGAAAAAGATGAATTGGTTGCAGTATACAAGAGACAAATAAAAAACTCTACATCTGAAAAGAAAATATTTTATAAATGTTTTAATAGTTATAGGGAAAGCAATCCTAAAAGATTGCAATCAGTTAAATGTTTTTCAATGCTTCTGTAAAATCAAGAGGCAAATCTTTTTTTCTTTCTCTTGAGATTCTCTTTTTTTTTTTTAAATAGCAACTGAGATGTAGTAGGTTCTCTGAACTAGACATGAAGTGATTTGCAGAATGTGGGATTGATCTCTGATACATGGCATTTGTAAAATGTTGCCTAGAAATAAAAAGAACACAAGAAAAATAGATTGAGTATTCCAGCCAAAGTGGTCTGTAGTTACTTCCCAACAGGATTGTTGCTGTGAACAAGCAAAAGGTTGCCTGCTTAATTATGTGTTGAGATGCCAAAATCAGTTATAACTCAGAGCAGCTGGAAAAGATGAGTGATGAAAACTTGCTTTTTTTTCCACTGAAGTGCTGAGCTGCGATAGCCACTGACTCGGGTCTCATGTTATCTTTATTTCTTCTCTTTGTTTTGCTCCCATTCCACTTTCTCTGCATCAATAATTAGATTAACTAACCAAAGCTATATCTTGTGCAAAACTCTTGGGCATAACTGTGGGTGGCACAATTGTGTTACACCTGTGTTTCACTGGCACTTTGGCACTGAAGTTACTTGTGAGAGTTTGCACCAAGACACGCAAGTTTTGTATTCTACTCCCTTCTGATCCTCCTCATTGCGTCCTCATCCAGGAAGCAGGATTGGATTTTAATAACAGTAGCAGCAGCTCCAGTCTCATCACAGCTACTTTCTTTCCCCCAAGGTGGATCACTGTTAACATCTTCAGTTTCTTCCAAAAGACTATCAGGAATATACTTTTTGCATACTATGGCACTTGAAAGAACATTATTGAACTAAAGCCTTCTGTGAAGAATTTGAATTCAAAGAATGAAGGCTTTTCCTTTTTACATTGTACCTTTAATGGAATGTTTTAAAAAATTTTGTTAGTCTTAGGAGGTCAAGATCTGACTGGAAACCTGAAAATCTATTTAGTTGTTTAACATGACACTCATATATATAAGGTCTTTACCACTTTAGGCTTACTTATTTCATTAACTTTTAAATTGAACATTTTGCAGTTTAGAATGTCACATGGTCACAGGATTATTTTGGCCATATCCAGCTCAAAATCTACTATATGCTGATTTTTTTTTTTTCCCCTAGATGTATTTTTCCTGTTTAAGCTTAAAATAATTTTATTGTTGTTTTATGAGTGTGTTTACTGTTTCATCTGCTTGTATATATTGAAACATGGTATTTCCTCCTGTTACAGAATGAATCCAGAGAGCATATTGTTGCTTTCAACATGTTAAATTACAGAGCATGCAAAAATCTTTGGAAATCTTGTGTAGAGCATCACACATTTTTTCAGGCAAAGAAGTCACTACCTCATGAAAAAAAGATATTATCAAATTATTGGACCCTGGGTTCTAGAAATCCAACAAAGTAAGTATTGTGTGAAAGCATGTTTTGCTCCATTAATGGGAATGGGAGGATTTGTCAGTGGTAGCTCAAGTTGGAGTGGCAGAGCTCAGTTCTGTCAATAGCTCTGTCCCAGTCTGTATATGAACCATTTGAAAAGTTATATGGCTGTGGTTTCAGTTTCTGCAACATGGTATCATTACAGTAGAACTTGTCCTATAATTTCCTAAAAAGGTGTTTGAATATATGTTTTACTGGTATTTTTTCAACTTTGCTGGTTCAACTTGTGGTATAAAAACACGAGAAAGTAAAAATGTCATGTAGATAATGATCCAGTAAGAGAATTTGCTGAACACATTTGTTTTGAAATGTTTAGCCCTCAGTGTCATGTACACATTCTATTTAATATGTTAGGGCAATTTTTGCAGTGCATCATACCAACCACTTATTACTGACATAAAGATGAAAAGCTTTGTCCCATTCAGGTATCCAAGATACCCCTTTTGAGACACTTCTAATCCTTCATTTGTCTTGTTAGGTTCTTCTAGTCATGGAGTTGATAGTTTCATGATGTTACCTAAGGTCTAGTGATGAAGTTGGTATTATTCCTTCCCATATGCAGTAACTGGGCCCTGTCTTCATTAAAGTTAAGCTGCCAGTTTATTGCCTAGTCATTTGACATTATAATGTCTTTCTCCATTTCTTTGCAATTGACCTTTATTTTTGCCATCCTGTGTGATTTTTAAAGTGGGAGGTTTTATGGAAGTAGTTCTACTCTTTTATCTTAGAGGCTTTTAGACTTTTTTTGATAAGTATCAGTTCCAGTGACATTTCATTATGTTGATTTGTTCTGTTCTTTCACTTATCAGCAATTCAGCTACAAATGTGTCGTGTGCTGTGTCTTCATTGTCTCATCGATACCTGGTCCCCACCCCCCAAAAACATTCTCTAATGAAAAATAAAGTCTTATGTCATTATCTTCTGTGAATGTTAGATTCTGGAGTGTTCTTTGATCCTTTGATCATCTGCATTCTTTGTAGACTCTCTAGAAACCTGCTTGTTCTGATGATTTTGGAAAAGTATTCATTTTATTGTTTTCTTTTTGATTTTGTGTGGTGCATGTCCGTGTGGGTTTTTATGTAGTGTGTTCCCTTAACAGTTTAACTTTACATTTAATTTGTCAGGCTGATTCTCACTTTTCTATTTGGATAAGCTTCAATTTTTGAATGATATCATACTTCAAATAGTCTCAGACTTTGGTGGCTCTCTGACTTTTCATACTCTCATGACTCTTTATATACTGCAGAAATTAATACTGAGTGGAACGGTATTACTTGTAAATGAAGTAGTTAACCCATGAGGGCTGTCTAACTGTCGGAAGTCTGATAAAATATTGTGTTTTCTGCTGGAGTGGAATTCCAGGCTTTCACATAGTACTAGATCATAGCTAGATGGTCTGGTTTCTAGATAATAGAAAACAAGTTGTTGTATGAACAGTATTCTAATTTTCTATTGGTTTACAGATCCATACTTTTAGAACTATCTCCTTTATGGAGTGATATGAACTTGTTCTTTCTATAGTGGATGTGTTGAAGAGGGGACTCTCAAAGTTTGTAGGGTTGTCAGGTCCTGGAGTCCTTTATTTCTCTCAAATTTGCAAAGAGATTCAAAATCCCAATCCTCCTATATACATATATACACACAGGGATTGCACTGCATTTGTAATGTTAGGAAAGAAAACAGCATGGCTTCCAACGGGTCCCAGTTTACTATTGTTCCAATTTTTACTGAACATTTTATTTTTTAAAATCTGCTGTTACAGTTTCTTAATAGCCTGTAGCATGCAGGATGGTTCTCATTGTTGATCTGAGTTACTAAAACAGAATTCTCTTCAAGTAATTTCGTGTTCCAAGGCCCTGTGTCTGCTGAATTGCTTACTTAGTCTCTTAAAGAATCTCTAGGGTGATCTATTTGTGATCTCTTCCATCAGCTTAATGATATCCTCTGTACTAATGCATTCTTTGGCCCTATTTATACCAGCAACAAGCATGAAGTTTAGGATCCACATGAGGGAGAAGTGACTCAGCAACCATTGCTATGAAAGATGGCTAAAGTACAGAAGAAGCAACAGTAATTTTGAAAGGCTTTGAGTAGTTCCTATGAACTTGGCCAATGTCACTCAGCAAAATTAATTTCTCAAAAGATTTGAGAAAAGAGGTGAACAAGTAACTTTTGAAGTCATATGTCACATATTGAAAATTTTTACTTTCCTAATTGTTTGTGGTTGTGGAATGTTGTAAGAGACAACATGAGTTTCCATGCTGCTTTTCAAGGATGGCTCTGATCTCATGGTGGAAGCTACACAACGAAAAAAGAGATTCTGCATTCTCCCTTATGAAAGGCATCAAATTTTTGCATTGCACAAATCAAACAAACACAAATAGACAAACAAAACCACAAAATAAAACACTCACACAAAAACCTCACCAACCACATCATGCAACCCTGGAGGTTTTGAGATTGACTTGTGTTCAGTAATTCTTTCCATGCAACTTCTGTTAGCTTTAAAGGTGGCTACAGTCAGGTTTTACCATCTTAAATATCACAAGTTTTCCTATGGAATTTGTGGCTTTCTTATATTATGTTCTTCTACCTTATGTGAGGCAAATAGCCTAGCATTTATTGCATCAGTTCAAATAGTTGAACTCTTACAATACTTGAGTACAATCTCTTATTCGCAAATCTCTGTGCCTTTCTAGATTCTTTTAGCTTAAGGTACTAGTGGAATTCTATTTAAATTAGGCTTCTGAGTTGTATAAATCACCTGAAAGCCTTATTCTAGGAGCAGACTGAATCACATCTCTCAGGTTCTGAGAGGTTAGTTCATTCAAGCTTCTGAATTGAATGCTGAATAACCTCTCCTAGGCACATTCTCATTCCTTTCTGAAAAGCTAAAATTGTATCTATTTTTTTCACCAAGGATAGCCTCAGTAATAAATGAGAGAAAGGAACTGTCACTTCAAGATATTATAGCCCATTCCAGAAAAGCTTTGGCAGCCTCCCAGAGTGTTTGCTGAGAAATATCCTGGTATTTGGCATCTGAAGGGCAGCTACTTGGAGTTCAGGAGATTATTTATCTTAGGTGTCTTAACTGAAATATCTAGAGAACATACTGTATAAGTGATTTTGTGGTCAGGGTTAGGGGTTTGGGATTAGAGTTAGGGTTTAGGGCTCTGGCTCCTGTCACATGAGTAATGTTGCACTTCAAAAGTCAACTGCATTGGAAAATGCATGAACAGGCACTTGTAAAAAAGAAAGGCTGATTAATGTGTAATTCTTCAAAATGCATTTTTCATAATGCATCCTCTTTTTCCAGTCTCCCTCTCTGCTCCAACCATGTAAGCCTTCTTTGAAAGAACTCTTTGTTTCTCTAGATGACCAGAGTAGTTGGTGCCTTGTCACTGGTATTTAAAAGAATTAGAAAAATAAATTGGATAATACAGGCAAAAGCTTCTCCTGAGTTCATGGACTTTTTTTACTAAGCAAAAACCATTCATGGGTAGCTGATTTTGATACGCAGACAGTTCATATTAGTTTTCCCTCTTTGTTTTTCATACATTTGGAAGATGAAGGAATTGATTTCCTTTAAAATCATGAACAAGATATGTGAAATACTTCGGTGTATATTAAAAAAAAGTCTTGGATTGCATTTTCTTTTACTTATAAAAACAAAAAGCAGTACAATGCAAAGTCTGCTTAAGGTTTGATATAGTGTGAGTAATATCCATGGCATAAGCAACATTTTTCTCTTAATGCCATGTAAAATTGAGACTTTTCAGCTCTATAGTAGAGTACTCACATACTCTTTGCTATCCCAGCTGCTCATTATGTACAGCTCAGGTTGTAATAAGCTAAAGGTGGTTTCTCTGTAACTCATAAATTGCTTGTTTTCCATGAGAAATCCTAGGCCTATGAACTCAAGGATGAGCAGCTTATTTCCCTTTTCTTGTGGAATGCTCTATAAAAAGAAGCATAAAAGTTAGTTTATCTCAGTTTCAGTCTACTTAAAAATTTTCCTTATGCTGTATAATTTCACTAGCAATACATTTTTTTTGCTTTCCTATCTGAGGTTCTGGTTCTGATGCAACGCTTATCTTGTCAGAATCTTGTCCCAGGAAGCAGTCCAGACCTGGAGATTCTATTTGCATGTCAAATCTTTTACTAATGACTTATTCCTATAAGGAACACATCAATCAAATGTGACTTCTTTCCAGAAATAGTGTTGCCTGGTGTAGCTCTTACTTGATGAGGCTGCAGATAGATGTGTAAAGTTGTCCTGTGAGCAGTGAAGCTGTTGGTGAATTGCTATCCCTTTATGCATATTAACAGGGAATCTCTAGAATATTTTACCTGTATTTGAACTGTGTTTTGTCAGGCACTTGGTTCAGTGCCAGTAGGACATACAGATTTCCTTTCCCCCTCTGTCTTCTTAAACACAATTGGTTTAAAAATCATTCTTAGAAAAAGTTATTTTTACTCAGACTTGTGATTAGCAATGTAGCAGGGATTAACAATCAGTTTTATTGGCACAAGTGAGGGACAGCAGATGTCTCTGGGAGAATGTAAATGCATAAGTAAGGAGGGGTAAGCACAGGGCACTCTTTAAAATATGCGAATTGTAAAGTTGACTTTCTTAAGTGTATTTTATTTCATTTAAGTTTTCTAGGCAAAATAATTCACATATAGTTGTTTTGTTTCTTTTCAGGTCTGCAAACAACCAGTACTGCAGAAAAGTGATAGGAGGGATGGTTTGGAACCCATCTATGAGACGGTCCTTATCTGTTGAGCATCTAGAGACCAAAAGCCTTCCTTCTCGATCACCTCCTGTTACCCCTAATTGGTAAATCCAGTTTTAGGTTTCCCAATACCTTCTAACCTCCTACTGTTTCTAATTGTGTGCACTCTAGCAGAATAATTATGTAGTGTGTACATATATATTTAAACATTGTCATTCTGAGAATAGATATGATGATAGAAGAGTGGGTATCACTTACCTTAACTTCAGCAAGGCTTTTGATACTGTCTGCCAAAATCTTATATCCAAGTTAAGACATTATGTTCAGGATGGGTGGACAGCAGGGTGGTTTGAAAAAACATTAAAATGGTTGGATGACTGGACTCAGAGGGGAGTTGTTAATGGATCATACTCTACCTAGAGGGACAATAACAAGTAGATGACTGTAGGGATCTGTCTTTGGACCTGTCCTACTTAACATCTTTATGATCTGGAGGAGGCAATGGAGTACTTGACCATATAGTTTGCAGATGACACCAAACTGGAGGGATGAATCAATAAGCCATGTGATAGGGCTGCCCTCTAAAGCGACCTTGAAAATCTGGAGAAATGGCCCAATAGGAAATGTGTGAAATTCAGTAGAGACAAACTCAGAGTCCTGGGAAGGAAGAACCCAGTGCAACAGTATTGTCTGCAGTGCTATACTCTGGAAAAGGGCCTGATATTCTTCATAGGCAGAAGTGATACACAAGCTGCCTGGTGTGCCGACAGCAAAGTCCACTTTAACCTGGCAATATTAACAGAATTGTAGATGCTGAGTCAGTGGAAGTGATAGCCCCCTTTTGCTCAGCACTTATTAGACCTTATTAGAATACTGCAGCCCTTTAGTGTCCACTCATACAAAAAAGACACTGACAATCTAGAGTGAGCTCAGCAAAGACCACGGGCCACCAAGGTAGTCAGGAGGCTGCAGCACTTACCCAATGAGGAGAGGCTGAGATAACTGCACTTGTTCAGCCTGGAGAAGCAAAGGTTTCCCAGATGCCTAATAACAGCCTGGCATTACTTAGGAGGAAGCTAGCTAGAAGATGAGACCAGATTCTTCAGTATTGCATGGTGAGAGGATGAGGCAACAAGTAAGTGTTGAAATAAGTGAGATTCTGTCTGGATATAATGCAAAAACTGCTTCATCACATGGACAGTCATTGCTTGGAGAAGCTGTGTAGTCTCATCATTCAGATTTTTTTGAGATATGACTAGATAAAGCCTTAAGCAGCCTCCTCTGACCTTAGTTGACCCTGCTTTGAGCAGAAGATTGGACTAGATGACCCCCATAAGTCCATTCTGACTTGAATTATCCTATAATTAAAACTGTAACAATATAGGTTGCATTTTACAGGGGGGAAACACCAAATCAGTTCCATGTACTGAACCTAGTACATTACCTAGTATACCATACAAAATGCTTAAAAATTTATTATTTAAAATGAGGCTTATAGGCCTGCCATGAAGATTCTGGTCATAACTGCAGTAGGATAGAAATTTTATTTCTATAAAATTTTGTGAAATATTCTAATCTTCCCACTTGTGTTTGTATTCTGTATTTTAAAGGCGGAGTCCTAGACTACGTCATGAAATTCGTAAGCCACGACACTCATCTGTAGATAACCTTACAAATGAGATTAGTTATATCACTGAAACAGAGGATGTTTTTTATACATATAAGGGCTCTCCCACATCAAAGGACAGTGATTCGGAGTTCTCTCAGAACCGCAGTCCGCAGAGGAGGTAAGGATTTCTGCAAACAATCCACTGCCTGTTTTGATTTTTTTCTAAAAGCACCAAACAAAAAAATCAAAGAGCTTTAGTGTAAAACAATCAGCATAAGTTGTAATATTAAGATAGGTTCAGTCAGTTTTCTGTTTGCATAAGCTCTATTTTGACCAGTTGCTGTACTGCAAATGCCATGACACAAAATGACAACTTAAAACCAAACCAACTCTTCATCCCTAAAGTTCTAAGTAAAATTAGAGAAGCTATTAAGGCCTGCCTGTGATATTCTGTTTCCTAGTAGCTTTTGCAATGCTTTTCTACCTGACATAAAGTCTTCTTTTTTTGTGGGGGGAAAAACTGAAATCTTATAAGAGTTCACTCATATTCCACACCATCAGCTGAGCACTGTCAGTTGAAAAAGGTATTGCATTTGAGTAAACATAAGAACATAATAATGCTAGTGGTCATCCATTTTTTTCTTCCGCAGAGGAACTGTCAATGGCTCATCTAAAGGCAGTCTCTGCTTTTTGTATTGAGTTATTTTGGCTGTATTCCTTGATGACCAACTTTGTTCTCCTCTATAGTGGTCTTCTAGCCACTGCTATGTTTGCTTCCAGGGCTTGAAGCATATGTATTACATTTTACGTGTGGTTTCCCCATATTTCTTAATGAATATCTTCAGATTATCACAATATTAACTTCAGAAATAATGTACAAAGACATTAATTGTTCAGTCCCAAAAAGAAAACAACTACCTTAAAACTTTGAGCTGGGGGGAATGCTATGTATTAAAATGCAGGTTCGTTTGTACTGTTACAAAACGAAAATGGTTTCTGGTGATGCCTAGTGACTTAAAGGCAAGATGTGTTTTGAGAAGCAATGTCTTAATGGAAGCTGATAGGACTCACCTGCCTCTCTGACAGTATGCAGCTGGTAACTGTAGCTTTAAATTCTGGATTGAAACTGTTTTCTGTAAATTTTATACTAATATTGTTATTACATTACAGCAGAGAGTTTTCTATGAAAAAAAAGAACAATTGACATGTGGTATGCATATTTGGAGTTTGTCACTGGGGTGTTCTAAATTGGTTTTCTATTTTTCTGATTGGAAGCCAGCTGAACCTTAATACTACTTATTAGTACTGATGACACTAGTAGCCATGACAGTACATAAGTGATGTCTCTAGGTGTTGTGAATAGTCATAGATAGGAAATCATGTATTTCCTGCATTTTAAAGTTTGCAGATGATACGCTTTAAGAAGTATTTTCTGAGTAAAAATACTGAGAGATAGGCATAAGAAGAGATGATGGTGGTACATGCTGTAGACAGAAAACTAAGTTACCATGCTGTGTTCTGTGACTGGCAGATTGTGACCTGCCAGTTGGATTTTTATTTTTTTTTTACTTTTCTTTACTTCCCATGTAGTTTTTCCCTTTCCTTTCTGTTTCAGTCATCCTATACCTACTGAGAATAGATTGGAAAAGCCTACCTTTATGCTCTTTCTCAGACAGTGAAAATAGGGTGTGTTAAATTTGAAAATAACACATTCCTTTATTTTCTGAGCCCTAAATGTCTGTGTAGTGTCTAAGTAATATCACTCACTTTGGAGATAATTACTGTTACTACCTCATATAAACCAAATTTTCCATGCATCTTAGCCCAAACATGTTCTTGGTTTCTTGGGTATGTTTATAATATTTGATACTCTGCAGGTAAATGAAAAAATCCTTGCATAAATCTGATTAATTTAAATTCAAGTTGTGTGTTTTGTAAGAAGAATGTAATGCAAGGAATGAATGATCCTTTGTTGTACTGACTGTTAGACTTTCTTGAAGTAAAATAGTCACTAACAATTTCCTTTTTAACAACTGAGGTAAAATACAAAGTAACTGTAGAAATAAAAAAAAAAAGCTTTTTCTCTACACTGAAGTTTTCACCTGTTTATGTTAGTTCACCTTCCAGTTTTTTTTCTTTTGCATTCTTACAGTAGTTTTTACTTGCTCCATTCCCCTTGTTGAAAAATGTAAAGTAAAATTAAGTATGTATGCGTAGTAAAATTTTTCTTGCCCCGAATGCTTTATTGATAGAAGGAATCTTACCCTATCACCTAAGTTAGTTTTTTAAGAAAAAAAGTTTACCTTGTATATCTTCAGTATTGAATATGGACACTTGCTCTGGGCTTTTTCCACGCATTCTGAATATTTGAATATTAACTATAAAACACCTTCCAGTGTACCGATAAATCTTGTAAAGTCAACCTACCTATTTTTGCCATGCGGGTCTTCAGTAGATTTGAATTGACATAATGGAAATATGCTATGGAAAAACCCTCAGATTTGCAATTTCAGTATTTCTCTTTCATTAGAGGAGAGCAGAGAGTAGCTTCTCATAGTCGTGCTAATACACATTGGCTTTCGAGGGCTTTTTTTACTGTGTAGCCCACTGTCTGAGACTGTTGATAAAGGTGTTAGTTAATGCTAATTATAACTACTGGATAGCTTTGGTCTCAAAAAAAAAATCTGAAACATTTTTGGAGAGCTACTAGGAAACAACTGTAAATGCTGATATTTAATCACTGAATGGTTATGTCTATCTTAATAATAATAATACTACTAATAATAATAATCATGCAACAGCTTGATTTCTGTAAAGTAAACATCAATTTAATTTACTATTTCTGAAGCTCAAGACTGTGCAAGCTGCAGTTAGCATAGAATATGGCTCTTCACTTATTTTTCCAGTTACCATCAGCATTTCAGGGGTAGTCAATAGTTTTTACCCTTTTTCAGCTTTTTTTTAAAACAAGTGGTCCAAGATAGACCTGCTTTCAAAGTGATGTGTTGTGATGTAGTGCTTTTTGAGGTAAATCGTAGATAAACTCGTGTAACAAGACTTGCTGCCTACCTAATGCTACCAAGGCACATTCAGAACCTTAGTGGATATCAGAAATGTAGAAGCCACCACTGCTGGCAAAGTACATACACCTGAATTTATTTCCCTATACACTCTTTTTCTCTCCTGACAGTACCAAGTATATTTATTTTCTTAATAATCGATTTTCTTCCTTGCTCTATTTACTCACTCACAGGAATCAATCAAGTTCTATATTCTTTCTATAAAACAGTACACAATTTAGAAAACAAATTATCTTGAACAGCTCTTAGTTTAGAGAGCATAAAACATAGCAGTTGTCAATATTTCTTCTTCAATTTCTTTAAATATATTGTACTGTATAAACATGTCAACATCTAGAGCTATGTTTGCTGTTAAATACTTTAAAGGAACGTACTGGAGATGAGGGTCAAGAATATTTGGTCATTTATTATATTTCTCTGAAGGACAAAATGATTTTTTTTTTTAAATGTGCTTTGTGTGAATGTTCTGCCTTCTAACTGAAAGTTGAGGAGTATACTGCAGTCTCTGACTGGAAAAAAGAAAATTGGAAAATAGAAAAAACCATATTCACAGGTGAACTACAGAAACCCAGGGCAAGCTTGCGAGCATTATGTTATGTGTAGGTAGGTTGCTTCTGCTACCCAAATTATCTAAGGTGCTTTCACATTCAAGAAAAATCTGAGGCTCAGACATAGTGAAAAGAAGAAATTTTTCTCTCTGATTAGCGTCTGCAGAAAAGATTGGAGCTGTCTATTACATATGTAGTATAGACAAAAAATTACTCTAACTCCAAATCAACATATATTATAGAACTTTATTCACAGGGCATGAATAGGTTTGCCTATTTAATCCAACTGTCTCAAGTCACAGCTGCTTACAACACCTGTCAGAGAAAACAGTGCTGAAGAGGACTTCAGGAGGACTTTTGTTTAGCCCAGGGCTCCCCAGTGTTTGTGAAGAAAGTATCCCCTACCAGTAGTTCTTGCTTTTTGTTGCCCTGCTGCTGTGCACCTCATCTGACTGCTACTGCGACTGAAAAATTAACACTAACATAGACATGGAGCCTACACTTAGCCTTCTAAAGTTTCATAGATTGCTTTCTCTGCTGTGTAACACTTTGTTATGGCTGTGCCTCACCAGTTCAGAACAGGTAATCCAGTCTATCTTCTCACTGTATGTTGTACTCACTCTGTCACTATTTGTACCATGCTTACATGCATATGCACATGGTACTGTTATTATTTTGGCTTTTAAAATTATTTCAAGAATAACACTGAGATAAAACATACCAAGTAATGAGTGCATTTGTTTGATAACAAGTTTTCCAGTTAAAATTTGCTTTCTCTAGTCTTGATGCAGCTTCCCTGAAGATGTTTTCTTCGAGACGTTTACATTTGCTTCATTGAAGCACTGTTGCTACTGACTTCTCAGGATCCCTTCCACCCTAAATTACTTTAAGTCTAAAATTCTACTTGTTATAAATGCAACATATTCCTTCATAAACTTTTCTCTTAAATGGTTGTAAAGCTATAAACCTCTTTTAACTTATATTGTAAAACTGTCTTTTGTTAGTGATATAGATGGCATAATGTGTACAACCCCAGAGTTGGAGGGGAAGGAAATGGAATGATGAACTAGTGTACAAAAAGGAAATTCACTTGCACTGTGCTATGAATTTCTGGAAGTGCACATACGTTCCTGGTGTGAGTGTGATGCATCATCTGGTGAAGGTATTGCACTGAAAATAGATTTCCTGAACGGATGCTGCATTTGTTCAATTCTTTTAGCTTACCATTTTGATAGACAATAAACTGTAGCTGCATAGTGAGCTTTGGTGAATGTACTATAGGAACACATCATTATTTTAACTAAAATACAATTTGTTTTGTAAGCGAAACTTTTAAAACTTTACTGTTGATAAAAATACTCTTCAGATTTACCCAGCCATGTCCTAGTAATTGCTTTCTTGGTATAAAATTGCAAAAGATTATAAATATCCCACATTTTAAACTGTTATTTATCCTTCATTCTTAATCATATACAGATATGATAATTTCTTTGTTCTTAGAAAATCTATTGCATTTCACAAAAGTTCGTTGTCCTCGTTTGTATACTCCAACCTTTCTTAAGGAATATATCCTAAAACTAGATGGTGGATCTGAGAATATTTCAATTAGTTTTAAATTAGGATTTTAAGGCTACTATTAATAGACTAAGTTTTATGTGCTTTCCCACTCAAATATACACAAAAAATTGTACATAGGTATATTTTGGTTAGATGTAAACGTCTCTTTTTAAATATATATCCTTATTCAAATACACTACACTTTCCGTGCCAGTTCAAAAAGCTACATTTTGCATCCAGATGAAAAGTTTTGAAGTTGAATTACAAATCTGTGATGAGGCAAATGTTGCAGCAATCCAAGCAGTTACTGTGTATCAGAATACGTGAAACTTTCATAGCAAGTCAGTAAACTGAATATGGTCAATAGTGGCAATGCAGAGTAACAAAGTATCCCTTTAGTGGTGATGGCAGCAGTTTACAAATGTGAATGTTTGGAACTTCTAGAAAATCACTGAAAAACTCGTGTACGTCCTCAAGTTTTTCTGTAATGGTACTCTTATATATGCAGCACAAAGAACTTGTGTCACCTTCTTACAGTCTTTCACAGAAATGCTGAATATTCTGTGCATAAACTTCTCTAAAAGACAGTAGAAAAGTGTTTCTGAAAATATCTTCCACTTGTTTTGCTTATGAATAATAATCCCAGGTTTAATGGTAAGTACTCCAAAAAGTGGTAACTGAAGTGCTGGCACACTCAATGTCCCCAGCCCTCCAGGTGTTACAATAAAAGAAGCTTTAAGAACTTCAAGAACAGCACAAGGGCAAAACCTACAGATGTTTCCTTCAGTTGTTTGTAAAAGGAGAGTTTTGCTACAGTGCTATTGTTTCACTTGTCCCTTTTCTCTTGGGGTTTTATTCTGCTGTAGTTTGTCATCCTCAGTTCTCAGAATAGCAGAATTCACTGGTAGGTCACACCAAAATGGGGGGGAGGGGTCTTTCCTTAAGACCTTTCTATCCTTCTGACAGAAGAGGAGAGTTAGACTTCTCAGGGAAACAGTTTTAGTACAAAGGTCATTATCAACAGAGCAATCCATAGCGAGTGTAAGATTGAAATGACATAGTTTTAGATATATTGTGAAGTGTGAAAGAGAAATTACCTGCAATTTTGAAGTGTTTGCTTGTTAGCTGCACCAATGGAAAGCTTAATCTCCTTGCAAAGAAGGGCTCTCTTTCTCAATGAAAAAGTTGAGTGGCTGGTCTGGTGAGTGTTGTCTTTCATTGACTTAAAATTAAGTCCTTGTCATATGTTGTGAAATGAGGAAGATAGGTCAGTAAAATGTGTAATACTGTGTAGCCAGAAAATATCATCTAGGTATTCATGTTCAAGGTATTTTATTATATTTGTGAGTAATTACATGCTAGAAATACTATTTAACTCTGTTGTGGTGCAAAATTCTGCAGCTCTAGCATGCTGACCTACTAAGGACTTTAGGAAGATGCAGCTGCATTGTCTGTGATAAATTCTTCTAGACTTCGAGTTTGGTCACTTTCTCAGTCAAATATTTAGTTACGTTTCTTCCCATTTCAAAAGGTTACAGAGTTTTCAGTAACTCATTTAGAGCTAGTATGTTTGAATTAAAGTGTAATAATTTAACAGATAAATCATCATCAAATAGTACTAAGAATTTATATCTCACATTTAAGCCTCCAAAGCTATTACTGAGATAATGGAAAATTTACTGTACACTTATACATGGTATAATAATTTTTTTCTCAAATTGCCTCTTTCTATTGGGAAGAAAGAGGGGAGATAATATCTTAAAATTGGGACATTGTATCTATTTGCATCACAATTTTATGCATGTAAATTTTTCATGAAGGCCCTTTAAAGAGTTAACTTATGACAACTTGAATTCTGCACAGAATTTGGTAATAGAGGTGTATCTCTACTGTGGCAAAATGTAGAAAAGATGTACAGTTTCATTGTTCTTTGCCTCATCAAAAAATCTGTTAGCTTAAATGCAAATAAATACAATGTTTCTTTATTTTTAGCATAACTTCCTAAGGAAAGAAGGCTTATGTCCTAGCACTGCCTGTCTGCCTCTGTTCCCGCTTCAGAACATTTGGACAATGCGGTCAAATGTAGTGTAGGAGCCAAATTTTCAAAGGTGCAAAGTTTTCTGCAAGATTAGTGAAAGTCAGTGACTAGACGGGGGGGGGGGGAACCAAAACCTTAAGCTGACATTCTCCTCTCAGTACAAGTTCAGTGGTTGTCCCATGTAGATATGGGCTGGTCAGGGAGCAAGTGAGTACACATTCCCATAGGATCTGCATATATTTAGGGGGTAAAAATTCTCTGGCAATTGTGGACAAAGAGAGCCAGAGGTATTTGTGGGAAAGTGGGGGTGGATATCAGTGGAGTCAGAAGTCGGGTATGACTGCAATAAAAAAGGAAGAAGTTAATGTTTTAAAAATATTAAAAGTATATAGAACCCAAACATCTACAAAGTCTGTGGGGATCAAGTTTTACAATCTCTGCCTCTCAAGGAAGAATTTCTTCATGTTGTCCAATTACATATAAGGAAACCTAAATAGACTGATGCTGTTGCTATTTTACCTGCAGTTTTGATGAATCATAGTACATAATTCTTAGTATTGAGGATGTTTTAGGGAATGATATTTGAAATTTTAACTGTATACTGTGAACTGCCTCCAATTACTTGACAATCAGCAATTCTACATTCCAACTGAACTACTTCATATTTGTATTTTTCCAGTATGGACTTAGACCACTCCAGGCTTTTTAGTCACTGCTTAATTGAATTTGTAAAGCTGTCCCATCCGCCTTAAACTTACTTTGCTTTGCAAGCACCTTTTTGGTAAATTTTACATTAAAATTTGCCTTAGTATTACAGTTATTGTTTTAATTGATGTAGTAACATTTAGCTCACTGTTTCAGGTGATTTCTGATGAACATAATTGAATGCATTGGAAAAATGCTATGTACTGCAAATTTTGATTTCCATTCTAGATCGTCCTCATTTGATGTAACCACTTCTGCTTTTGTTATGCTTTGTCTTAAAGTTCTCTGTAAACACTTGCTCTGCTCTCACATCATGAGAATGACCATTAGAAATGTCATGCTTCTGAAGTCTCCTATGCTCGTTTCTGGTTACCTAAATGTAAAGAACTTTCCGTGTTTTGGCATTTTGCAAAATACTGTCAGTGATGTCTGTAGTCATTGTGATCTACATCTAAAGCTTTCTAAAATGACATGGTGTGTCTGGCTAAATAATTGCCCCTGTAAACTCCTGCATAGTTCAAGTTGTGGTAGCAGATGTGTGTTACCTGTAGTTGGGCTTGTGCCAGAAGCACGAGTGAGTGGTTAGAACTGCCCTGGGATTTTTGTTGAGTGTTTCATAAATACCATAGTTATCTGATTCAGACATTCAGCACAGGGTTAAGTAGTCTTTAATTTACTATGAGCATAACTTTTGGCTTTTTTTTTTTTAATTGAACTTAGTTTTTGTTTTCTTGAAGATTTAACTTGTAATCATTTAATGTTAGTTTTCTGTTGTTTTTAACAGGTCATCTGAACAAGAATCACCAAAGTGAGTTTTCTTTAAACTTTCTACTATAGAATCTCTAACTTTAGGACTAATAGTGAAATACATAACTTCAAGTGATTTTTCAAGGTAGTGATCTTGTATGGTCAAAAGACACAAATAAACATATGTATAAACCAAGGAAGATTGTAAAGATTTGTGGGGAAAAAATATATTTTGGGGTTAGGATGTGGAAAGTCTTAAGTTCTAATAGATACCTAATCACTGTTAACAAAAAAGTTGGTTAAAAACTGTTGCAAAACTTAAATGATGCAAAAATTCACTGGTAATTTTATCTAGTGACTCTTTATATAGTGCCAGATGACATTAACTGAAATATATTGTAATATTTTCCTGATGTTATTTTTTTTTCTACATTGAAAAATTGTTATGATCTGTAATTTCAACTTCTAAGTGAAATGGTTTTTTAACAATTACTATGTTCCGGAAAACCTATTAGATTGTATTTACATATATAATGTTCCTCTGCTTAATGCAGACCTCGAAGGAATCGTGAAATGTCCTGGGAGCTATCAGATAAAAACATCATTTTGACAGTATGATTCCTTGAAGTGTCATTATAGTTCACTACTTCAAAGTATTCTGAAATTATGGACAGCAACAAATAGATAAGATTTCCCAAACATTGAAAACATATTTTCTGTAATAACTGAAAAATCTGCAAATGTTGCACAAAACACCTCATTCCCATTGCCAAGTGCACATAATCAGAAGCAAGAATATGTTTGCTTGATGGCATCTTTCAGAACGTTTACATTTGTTGCAATCACATTTTCCTAAGCTGAAAAATAAGTGTTTGCATTATCAAAGTTCACTGTAATGCAAGTCCTGTCTGTTAAAATCCTAAGGTACATTCTTCTCTAGTGTAGTATTACTTCTTTATTGACAGCTAGCAATGGCTGCTGGAAATGGTTCAAAAAAGCTCATGTACCAAAAAAAGCTCTAGTACCAAAGCAGAAGTAAATGTTTGAATTTACAAATTTTAATGCCAGGGTTTACCAGCATATACTTCTGCTACTTTAATACTGTCAGAATTTGATGGTGCTATACCTAAGCTTTCCCCAGGACAGATATTTTCACAGTAGATAGGATTTATCAAGAAGGAGCAGTTATTCTGTATGAGTTTGATCCAATTAAGGGAGAGGTTTGGTTTTATTAATGGTCTGCATTTCATCCTTTTCATAAGAGAGAATGTAGCTAAATGAATGTTTGAAAGGTCCTGGAGCACCATCAGGCAACTTGGCCAATTCTCAGATTTGAGTGTTTATATTAGTGACTTCAGTTATCCTTGAATGTTAAGGTTCTTCAATGCCAGATCTGCACCCTAATTTAATTCTGGTTTGTTCTACGTGGTTGTAACTACTCAGTAACACAATATATTAACTGTAATTAAATCTTTCATTGTCACTTCACTTCCTATTTCTCTGACAATTTACCACAGCTTTTCTGCAAATTGCCTTCTCCCACAGGGATAAGTTTGAGATGGCACTCATAAGAAGGAGGAATTGCAAAAAGAAACAAAACAAAAAAAAAGTTACTTTTCAGGAATGAGAGTAGAATCAGAGCAAAAGATTTTTCATGGGTAGAGTTGGCAACTGTGGTGCCTTTCACTTGCAGTTCAGCTCTCTTTATGTGTTACCATGATTTACTATAGCACTGCAACAGTACCTTTCAGTGCTAACATCAAAATATTTTGCTAAAAGTGGTTTTACTACTCTAGTTTTGCTTTGTCCATTCTTCTGGATGTCCACTGATCAAATGATAGGCTTAAATCACACTTCAATCCTGTTTCCCTGAACCTCAAGAAGTGGTGTTAAATCTAAGTATAAAGTTGTCTTGCTTTTTTAACTGGGCAGTACATTTGTATGTTTTACTATTTAATTTAAAAATCTGAATAACAATATCTTTTGTAATATTTATCCTTTTTAAATAAAGGAATGTATTGGATAACAGTCCAGCGCGAAGTTCTCTGACCCATATCTCACCTAAAGCCTTGGCTCAGTCTCCCAATGGAGTTGGCAACATTTCTGGCTCTTACCCTTTGGAAGGGGTGGATAAACAGTTCTTAGAAACATATGACAATGTTACAAAAAGTAGCTCAACAGAAGATTCCGGTCAGTACTACTGCGATAAGGTATGTTCAATTGTGTGCTTTTGAAATTAAAACTAGTAGTGAGTGTAACTTTGAAATGTAGCTTAAGAATGAACAAAAGTTGTGGTTTATATATTAGGATGAGCATATTTTGTGCACTAATAAGAATAGATCTTGTCTTACTACTCAAATTTATCCAAGGTTGTGCATACAGAATGATTGACAAGCTTGCCAACTTCATTGATTTCCAAAGTGTCCAATATTCTAGAAGCATCTGCAGGGGAAGTTCCTAGTGGAATAGGAATACTCACGTGATTAAATCTTATTTCCTCCGAGGAGAAAGATCAGATAACTCAAGTTGCTATATGTCTGAATAGCAGGAACATCTCTGCCTTATCCCAGGCGTGTGTTAAGGATGGCTAAAGATCATTTGAATTCTGAACTGACTGGAAAGCAGCTGCTCCCCACTAATGTTATGGTAGTGGATCACTTTTGTCCTGTCTCCAGCCTGTTCCAGAGGTGTTCTGAAGAACTTCCTAACCTACCTGTCCATTAGCTGCTGACACCTTTTAATCCATCTGCTTTGTGGTTCTGTTGCAGAAAATAAAAATGCACCCATTTACAGGAGAAAAATCAGGGGAAAAGTAGTTACCTCATAGTTCTTAGAGCAGAATCAATTTTACTCATGGGTTACACTTAACATTTTGGTGACAACATATTGAAAATGTAATAGGAGTTATCAAACTAAGGTGAGAGTAGCGGTGTTAGTACAGAGCAACCAGAGAATGTTTGCTGTGAGGTATGTTGCTATTTTTACAATTTAAAAGATTACTACCATAGGTATATTCTACAACCATACCTTTTTCTTATTTTAAAGGTGGATTTACATAGAGTGTTTTTGTTCAGCACATCTAAATTTGGATGCACTATTCCCTATTTTGCTGCTATTTTCTTTTAAAAATTAGAAAATCTGTGGGTTTTTTCTATGTATTACAGAATGACCTAACTGAAGGAGATTTACTTTTGGTGCGTATCATACCAGATGAAGATGGAAAGTTTGGATTTAATCTAAAGGTAAACAAGCAGTCTTTTACATATTTTTAAATACTTTTTAAATATAATGGTTTGAGTTTACTTTTTTGGGTTTTTTTAATGTAATGATTTGGAGAAAACGGTATATTCTGCAGGAATTTCTCGTGTCTTTAGAAGTGACAGCCTAATCCTTAAATGCTAAAACAACACTTAGAAAAATAAACCACTACTAGTTCTCTGGTTTGCAGTTGCATATACTATGGGCATGGCACATTTCCAAAGCAGACTGCCTATTTGGCTGCTTAAATATGAACTTGAAAGCCTTATTTAAGGCATGAACATTTGAAAAATTGGACCTCTGTATTGTAAAACAATTTAAATAGTTTGTGCTATTCAATTTAATATATCTATTGTAAATCCTATAGGAAAGTTGAAAATTAATTTCTGAAGAAAATGGAAATTACTATTAATAACTGACTATTGTAAATGTTTTACATTCCCTCACTGAAATTCCATTTAAGCAGAGTAGTGTAAATTAGCAGGGCAGAGTTTGATCTTTTCATCTCAGGCATTTACTGGTGCAGCAGTGATCAAATGTCATGTGAAGAGAATAAGGGAGTACAGTTGTCTGGCACTTTGATCCTACCATGTTCCTTGCACGTTCATCACAACACCTAAGATGGCTGTCCACCTTGCCAGTTCAAGTGTTGAATTAGGCTTGTTTGATGGACAGGGTTACAATAAATGTTGCATTTTATCTGTTTATTGCTCACTAAAATATATGGCCAAAGACGCTGGATCTAGTCTACTGGAAACTGGTAAATATAAAGACACCACAACCCACCCCTTAGTCCCCCATTTAGTGATGAAAATTCAGTCCTACTAACCCTACCTATATAGAAACAAAAATAATTGATTACTTGTTTTAAATGTTGCTTATGCTTAATGATATATTTATGGTTGTTATTTACTTCACATTCCCTTAGGGTGGAGTAGATCAAAAAATGCCACTAGTAGTATCAAGAATAACTCCAGGATCACCTGTAAGTAAATTTGTAAGGCTTTTACTCCTTCCTTTATTACTCCCTCCCCTCTCAGAGGTCTATACAAACAGTAATTTGGATACCCATAACTAGTGTGAGATAACAGCTGAGCTGTTCTCTTTAGGAGTTGGTTTGACCAGCGGTTTCTTAAACCACAGATTAAAGGATCTAGAATTGTTACCCAAACAAGACAAGTAGAAAGCATATTTGTGTCCTCTTGTCATCTCAAAAAGTGCATCTGGAACTGGAAAATGCTTGATGAGGGGCAAGGATTTGAGATAGGGAACAGCATTCACTGAAGAAATAAATAATTTGGGCCCCTGCAGCCTAGAAAAAAAAGCTAGTTTGAGAGAGATGTAGTAGAGATCTGTAAGATTGGGAGCACTGAGAACAGGGAATTCCAGCAGAACTGTGGGCTATCAAATTAAGTTTGCAAAAGTCATGTTATTCATGTTTAGTGAAGCAGTTCTTGATGCATAAGATTGTAGACTTGTGAAACTCCTTGACAAAGGATGCCGTGGTTAAAATAATTTTGTGGGTGGTCAGGAGAGGACAAGTACTTGGGGGGGGAAAACTGCTGTTATTTACTAGGCAAACCACAATAGGCTGAGGAAATCCTCAGTGCTAAAAATATTTATAGGCTGGAAGGATATCTGGCAGGGGAGAGGGAGCAGAGTATGTTTGCTTTGTTTCTATTTTGCCATAGATTTTTGCTCATGGAAATGTTTATGGACTAAGTTAAATGTTTATAAGAATCAATAGAGTCATTGGATTCTTCTGTTGAATTGTGAAATAATAGTAGTAACATATCATCTTTTTAACTTTTTTTCTTAATAATTAGTACATAAATTTGTAGGGACATTTGTTATCTCAAATTTTTTCATTCCCCTTTTTCCAAACTGTATTTCCAACTCTCATAAAATAATTTTAGTGCAGACTTGATATTGCTGACTTAATCCTAAAAATATGATATATACTCTTGTAGACTCTTTTTGAAATTTAATAAGGAGTCGCAGGACTGATATCTAAATGTCACGATGCAAATCAAGCTAAAACAGATTGCTCGAGAGGTTGTTTTTGTCACATTTATGATTTGTGACTTGACTTATGCAGTCATTTATAAACTATAGTAATTATTTGAATAAAAAATTAGTAGAAAATTATAATTATAACTTAAATCTACAAAGTGAAAATAAAACAGTCCTTAAAACATTTCATGGTCAACCTAGCAAACTTTTTAAGGGTGATTTGAGATACTGAAATTAAATAAGGGAAGCAGACTCATTCCACAGTCAGAGAATGAAAGATGTTTCTCCAGAGGCAGTCATTTCCTTTGGCAGATTCAGATTGTCTTCTGGAAAGTATTGATCTTTTTTTTTTTCTCTCTTGGATTGGAAAAGGAACGCGTTTCTAACTTGCACACTTCATTTAAGTGTCTGCCACTGGTGGCAAGTGACTAATTAGACCTCTAGCCTAGTAAGCAACTGAGTAAATTGTCAGGATCACAGAAAAAATTGGAATCGGTTACCCAATGTAATATACTCCATAACAGTGCTATAGAAATCATGTCGTTATCACAAGAGGAAAAAAAATACTTATTTTCAGAACAAAGCAGTATTAACATTGATTATATTGTTTACCATAAATGAAATTTCACCTGCTCTTTATTGTTTAAAGAAATGTAGCTGATATTTGAAAGTTCAAATTAAACAGTCTATGGTATGCAATTTTACATTATTTTAGCTCAGTGATGTCTTTTCTTCATTGCTGCTATTTTAACTTGATCTAGATTCACTCATTACCCTGAAAATTGCCCTCACAGATGCTGTTTGTTAGTATTATTTGCTAAGATTATTTCTCAGGCTTTTAGATAATTTTTTTCCATTTTTCTACAAAAATATGTGTATTTTTTGTAGAGGAGAGGAAACGAATCTACTCACCAAAAATAAGACGATATTTTTCTTTACACATCCTAAAATTCTTCTAAAAATTCCCCGCTAATAAAGCAGCATTCTAGTATGCTGGGAAAACTGTAGGACAGAGCAGTGTCAAAAGTGTTGTGAGAGCACATTATAGCTAAGGAACAACCACTTATTGCAGCTGTTGAGTTTTTGTTTGTTTTAATTAAAGCCTTATACTGTTTTGTGGGTTTTTTTTCACAAATAGTATTTATGTCCTAAGGTGCTAAAGACATCATTATGGTTTTATTTAATAAAGCTTTCAATTGAAAAAGATTTCATGCTTCTTTAAGCAATAACAAGGTGATTAGCATAAAATGCAGCATTGGATGTGTCAATAGGACAGGAAGCCTTTGACATAATTAATTGTGTGGAAAAGCTTAGTATCTGAAAAATCTACAAATTATGCTTGCGTAGAAGGAATTAATTCTCATTCAAGATGTATTTTATATACATCTTGTATTTTATAGTCAGATGATTCACATAAAAGAGCTGAGGCATTAACATATCGCATGATTAACAAAGTTTGTTTCAGCAAAGATATTAATCTCTATCTGTAATAAAGAGTAATAGTCACCAGCCAACCAAGAAATCTTAATTATAGACAAATATAGGAGACTAGAAACCATTTTCTCCATGTTCTTGTTGACTTCTTGACTCTACTAGACTGACTGGATGCAGCCTTTATATTTGCTATCTTTTCAAATATTTATATTTCAGAGAGAATAACTAATATCTCAGTAATATTTGAGAGTTATTAAATTATTCAGTCATTCATAGTTACATTCTTCAGTCTTGCCTTTTCTAAATTTTACACATGGCAAGGATATTCTTGGGGAGCTATGAATACCTCGTTAAATCAGTGTTGAAGAACACCATAGCTGTTCTTAATTCCCATTCTTTTTCTGTTTGTTTGTTATGAATCATTGTCAATCTTCCCTCACCTTCATTATTTTCTTTCCTTAATTCTATGGAAAAGTTGGGGGAAACTCTTCCTTCTTTGAATTTTTAAGCAACTTTTATGCTTGGGATATTTTCCTCTTGCATACATCTTTCTTTTCTCTTGCTTCTTTCTCTTCTTCTTTGTCTGTTTTGTGGCACTAAGACAGGTCTTAAGTTTTCTTTCCTTTTACTTTATACTCCGGCACAAGTGGCTCCCAATTTATTTTCTTCTTCACATCCTCGCCTCTATTTTTTTTTTATTCTGCATTTTTCTTGTTGTTTTTCTTTTCATTATCACTTCTCCTTTCCACTTCTTCCTAATTTTGGTTGGTAATATAGTACATCATTGACAAACGTATGTTAGGAGCCATCAGTGCAAGGCATAATTCAGATATAATCTAATTTTAATGTCTTCTTCCCACTCAGGGGGTTGGTGATGGTTGTTTGGCAGGGGTAACGATATTGGATGAATAAAATTCAGGGAACCTGTGCTGGCATTAAGGAAAAACAAGGAAGAACTATGAATAGAGAATAACAGTAAAGGTCTATGTCTTCATTTCATTTGTTGTATGAATGAGTGTTTATATATCACTCTTGTGTTGCTGGGCACTTCCTAGACAAAATAAAAATTTGGATAGCAATGAAAAAAAGTTGTTACAATACTTAACACTCAAAGATTGTAGAATCCTGCACATTCATATTAGAGAATGACAGAAGATTGGAAGGGACCTGGAGGTCATCTTGTCCCACCCCCTCTGCTTGAGGTTCATCTAGAGTCAGTTGCCCAGGACTGTATCCCAGATGGCTTTTGAATACTCCGAAGTGAGAGATTCCACAGTGTCTCTGGGCAACCTGCTCCAGTGCTCAGTCACCCTCAGAGTAAAAAAGTGTTTCCTGATGCTCAGATGTAGCCTCCTGTATTTCATTTCGAGCCCGTTGCCTCTGATCTTGTCACTGGGCACCACTGAGAGCCTGACTTCAATTTCTCTGTGCCTTCCCCTTCAAGTATTTAAGTATATTGACAAGATCTCTCTGAGGCTTTTCTCCTCTAGGCTAAACACTCCCAGCTCTTTAGTCTTCCCTCATGCTAATGATGCTCTAGTCCTTAATCATATTAGTACCATCATCATCATATTCTGACCATAGCTTGAATGGCTTTTTGCTGAACTTAGAGCTAAACATACTAAGAAATGTGGCAGAAAAAAAGCCAAACAAGCCCTGGAGTTCAGCAGTTAATCTAAATTGTGGTATCCAAGACCATACATAATGTAAGTTTTCATCTGAGATGGGGAAAACCTTGTTTTAGTGTTCCCTGCAGCACAGGTAGCAAAAGAATTTTTCACAAATGCAGAAGATTTGAGCATCATAGTTTGAGTACTTGCCTGCATCTTCCTGTTAAAACTTTCAGTAAATGAAGAGAGGAAGAATGTTCTCTATTTGTAGATATCCTTTAATATCCACCAAACAAGAATCTGCTAAATAACAGAAATACGAAATGTGTATGGATTTCTTTGAATTTTAAAAAGTACGTGCCTAGGCAATGTCATGTTATTTAAATTATGTTCATGAAAATCATATTTGAACTTCTCAGTATTTACTGCATCAAAACTGAAATTGTTATCTTATGTGCCCAAAACACTTTTTCCAGAAATTCAGTGGCTGTTGAGGCTTGGAGCCTGATCTTCAAGAGCAATCTGATGGTGGCTGTTTGATTAACATGAATTCCTTTTATAGCTATCGATATGCTGTTTGAACTGTTTCTTATCTTCATTGGGAGGCTTTGAAGCGCGAAAAACACCTTTAGATCTGAATCCTTTGATAGAATTTCTGATACAAAAGATGAAATCTTGTCAGGAGAACTGTGAAGACTTTGCTTACATGATGAACTTAATATCCTGATGTGTTCCTACTTACACAACTAGATGCAATGACATTAATGTGTTTCTTTGGTCTTGAAACAGGCTGATAAATGCATTCCAAAGCTGAATGAAGGTGATCAGATAGTATTAATTAATGGCCGAGATATCTCAGAGCACACACATGACCAGGTGGTCATGTTCATAAAAGCCAGCAGAGAATCTCACACAAGAGAGCTTGCACTTTTGGTCAGACGGAAAGGTAACTGGGCTAATTTTATTCACTTCTAATGTTTTTGAGACTGTTGCTCTTATGCTTGACATTATACCCTCTTCTGTTTACATAAATGTGTTCTCAATGCACTTGAAGTAGGTCTGTGCTAAAAAGTAGGTCTGGCCACATTCGAATGAGTAGTACAAATACTTTAAACTATATAGGTTTTTACCACTGCAATAAAGAATCTATCAAGTTAGAAATTTTTCTTATTTTTTAAGTCTAAACATTTATGAGAACAAATAGTCCCTTGAAAAAGTTTTTTTGGTGGTTTGGGGTGCTGGGGGTTTTTTGTAAATAAAGCATAATTTCCCAAATCCCCAATTGCAGGTTTACAAATCTCATGGGCTGTTCCCCAGCACAATTATACGATGAAACAAGTAGAATAAGCTGTTCCCCACCTCAGTCTTACAACAGACATTTTATGACAATACTGAGAAAAGGCTGTGCTGCCTGCTTGCTAAACTAGTGCCAACAAAGAGGAGACATTATTTGAAACATGCAACCTTAAGCCTGTATATTTAAAATATGGGTAACTCCTCCACCTTGACTTTGTTTTCTATATTTAAACACATGTAGATACCAAGAGCTTTCAGATACTGTGAAACTCCTAGTTTATTATTTACTTTCCTTAAGACCTATGGGAAGACCTTAAACACACTATTATGGAAGGGCTTTGCATGAAATTTCTGATTACATTAAGACTTAAAAATCTGAAGGCATTATGCATCACTTGGAAACAGGAGGGAATGAAACTGCCTAAATGATATGTACTTCCGTAACATTGACTTTATTTAAAGCTTCTTGTGTTTCTAGGAAGATGGATGGGCTCTTGATCTTGTTTTCCCTGTTGTAGGCCTTTCCACTGGCTTTATGCAGCATTTAGTCTTCCCTTAGCTCTTCTAGTCCCCTTCCTACTTGCAGATAAGAGAAGTCTGCTTTTATCTAAAGATAACCTGTGGCCCCACGCCAGTCATTTCTATAGGCATGTGTATGAACAGCTTCCCATTTTCTGAAGTTTGGCAGGTATGAAGTGTTCTGATATTGCAGAGAATAACCACAGCTGAGCATGTTTGGTTATGCAATATGATTCATAGAGACAGAACTGCTATGTAGATTGCTTCATTAATGTTCGTCATGTTCTTCAATATCTTATCAAGGAACGTCATAGAAAACAGACTATTTTTTTTTTAAAGTTTATTTAGTTAGTTTCTTCAATGTTAGCATAAAAAATTGCAAAAGATAATTCAGTTGCTTCTCTAATGGCAAGAGGGTACTATACAAGAATTTTTGCATTCATTTTGCTGTTGGAGGTCCAAACTTATACAATTTTCTTGTAGAGATATTCCATTAATTATACTCTAAACTTTTTTAGGCAAAACTCCATTGTTTTTTTTACCATGCTGTGATTCATTAGTCTATTTAGCAGTTCATTCTGTAAGACAAGATGGCAAAAACTCCTTGTGCTTGGAATTCAATTTCTTTGTCTTCATAGGATAGGCATTTTGAGTTTCTCTTTCCGAAAGGTCGTAAGGACTTTTTACTCCTAGCAATTTCTAGAGTAATGTAGTGCAAAAAGAAATGCAATTAAATGTGTTACTATTTACTTTCCTGAGGCTTTGGAAACTTTGTTGTTTTTTCAAACTTGTAAATTTTTATATCTGTTACAAACACATTAATGCTGCATGCAATGGATTTTAATTGTCTACACATCTTTCAGTAGTTAAACAGTTTGTGGAATCCAAATCAGAAGACGAAGCTGATTCCCACAATCTCCCGGAATGTATTCTTCCTGTCTGTTCTGAATATGGTGGTGATACACTGGAGGAGTCTATGGAACAGCTAAGAAGAGGGCTAGAAAGTGGGACTGTCCTTATTCAGTTTGAGGTAGGTAATACTCAATTCTCAAATGTCATTAATATAGACCAATAGCTGTAATCAGCAAATAATGTAGGGGTTTAATTAATTGCAAATTTCATTGTTCCTCTTCAGTCCTGTCTCAAGGGAGCAACATTTTTACTTGCCCATCAGTTTCACCCTTCACTACTTACAACAAGGAAGAATGAGTTATCAGTTGTACACAAAATATCATCTGCTGAGAAAAATGCATTTGAATTACCATGTTTCTAGCTCAAGTACCTAAAGCTCACTAAATTAATATTTTTTCCTTAGTTATTTTATTCAATAGAGTAGTGGGGTTTTCACAGAGGTCAGTCTTGTACTTTGTTTCTTTTTCTATGTTCTTCAATGTGTTAGCAAAGAATGTCATAGAAAACTGACTAATAACATGTTTTTATAATTTATTATATTAATTCCTTAATTGTTAGTGTAAGAAATTACAAAAGATAATTCATCTGCTTCTCTAATGGCAAGGGAGTACAGTATATGTATGTTTGTGCTTGTTTTGCTGTAGTGGATTCAAACATTTATAGTAACTCTGGAGAAACCCTAGTTATTATGATTTATAAAATTGACATTGAGTTCAGGAGTAACCATTTCTGTCACTGAAAATTTGTAGAACAGCAAAAAAATTTTTCCCCGTTTTGATATTTTTTCCTTGACTCTTTTTCAAATGGTGTCAAATTTAATGGTAGGGGCTGAAGAGTTCTGATATTTGTAATTTTATAACCACTTTTTTTAATGAAATTTGCTTTGTTTCCAAGATTTCTGAGAATTAAATTTCCCCTTCTCTTAAGAAATTGTAGACTATGGTTCATAACTGCTTTCCAAAATCCACAGCACTGAATACAATCAATCAATTGCAATGAGTGCTGGCTATTGAAACAGTAGCTCAAAATATGTGAACTGGTCTTTCAGTACTTTCTTAATTGTCAAATTTGTTGACTAAATTTGTGCACAATATCCTGTAATAATCTTCATAGGATATTTGCTCCTTTATGACTTTTTTTTCATGTCAGCATTTATAAAAGGATATTACAGAAAAAGTTCAAAACGTTTTTGAAATATAACAAATCTAGGGTACAGCTTAGTGGCCTTGTTTCTTTGAGTTCATTGTTTCATGATCAGAGACAATTGCAGTGACACCTCGTCAGCCTTGGTGACTCTCAAACTCTCCATTCACTTCAGTAAAATAGTAAATAATTAGCCAGTAGACTATGAATAATAAAATTTTTCCAGAATATCTTCCTCCATTTAATCAGAATTTAACAAGTCTGTCAATAGCAAATGACTATTTGCCAGGCAACAATAATGAAGCTGGAGAATGATTACTTGACTTTAAATTATTCTTAAATTATTTTTTCAGTCTGTATGTTTCCATGTGAGTGTATTTAATTTGTGTATAACATAATCAGATCCCTCAAAATTGTATGATTTTTCATTCTTTTTTGCAGCAACTTTATAGAAAGAAACCAGGTTTGGCTGTTACATGTGCAAAGGTACCTCAGAATATGGACAAGAATAGATACAAAGATGTTCTACCTTGTGAGTCTAAAGTACAGTTCCTGCCTATTTTGCTTTATCCTTTATATGGTAGCTATTTAAACTGTTGTATGGAACTTATTGATTGAAGATTTCATTATATAATTGAAGTCATATAATTTTTCATTTTATGTTCTAAAATGTAATGTATTCTGGTTTGTATTCTGCTGTTTGTGTCTCTGCAATTCCTCAATTGTTTTTTAACTTAATAGAAGGGAAACATGCCCATTAATTGCTAATTTTATTCCCTCTTTTTTTTGTGCGTGTGTCTGTGTGTGCAGATGATGCCACAAGGATAATATTGCGAGGAGATGAAGATTACATTAATGCAAATTACGTGAATGTAAGTCATACAGAGACCTGCATTTACTCGCTCTCTGTATTACTAACGCAGATTGAATTTGGCTTTTTTGAGGAAAAAGGATATTTTCTTTTATATTTTGGGGATTTGCAAACGTAGAAGATGTAAAGTTTCATAGTGTAAAAGATGAAGTGTCTCTTGTGAAACAAGTAGCCATCCTAATACAAAGTAAATACAACCATGTGGTTGGTATAAACTTTGATATGTGCAGAGTCTTTAACCAGTAAAAATTGTTTTACCTTTCCATAGGCTTCAAATGCTGAGGTTGTATCCTTAAAATTAAGCACTCGTCTCTCTAGAGACACTTATGGCATACCAGCTATGCTATGAAGGAATACAGAAGACAAATCAGGGCCATAATTGCCATAATCAATCAAGTGTAGACTGGGGGTTAGGGAAAAGAGGGGAAAATGTCTATATATTTGTGTCAGATCCATAAGTTAAGCACCTCAATCAGAGTTGATTCTTCACTTACTGTGTTTGGTATCAGGCAATAAACAGCTTTTGCTAGCATACCTTTGGCGTATATGCCTTGCCATACTTCCTTACTAGGTATTAAAGAAAATCTGGAAAGCTTTGCAGTTTCAAATTTTCAAATACATTGTCACTAATAATCTTCTATTTATGGTTCAGCATGAAGGACTATAGAATCTTTACATCTGTTTTAAATTAATGATTTAAAATTTTTTCACATAACAAAGTGTGATCTTGATTGTCTTATTACTTATTACTTGCTGCATTAGTCTTCCCTCAAAATTTTCTGTTTGAATGAAATGCTGAGTTAAAATAGTACTTGAGCAATGAGAACAAGATTTACATAGAACTTTTCTTCCGCTCTATAGATGGAAATTCCTTCTGTGGGCATTGTGAACAGGTACATTGCTACTCAGGGGCCTCTTCCACACACATGTGCACACTTTTGGCAAGTAGTCTGGGATCACAAATTGTCCCTGATCATCATGTTAACAACTCTTACTGAACGAGGACGGGTAAGTGTCCAGGCTCTTTATATGCTGAAGAAATATACTGTACTTTTGAACATTTTTCCATTGTTATGATTAAATAACCCTAAAATAGGCCGACTTATTCCATTGAATCATTTTTCTGAAGGCCAGACTTTCTGAATTACTTAGGAAGAGATTGTCTGCAACTTGCTTTTTGTTTTGCTACTTTGTAAACAAACCAGCTGTTTGTTTACAATTTGTTTACTACATTCACTCTGTTATGCTGAACAGACAGGTACTACGTGTTGTTATTTTTCCCCCTGAGTGCTGGGCTCCATGTGGCAGTTGCTCTCCAAGCCATTCAGCAGATGTCTGGAAGCACTGAGCAGGCTGAGCAAACCCTGTAGTCTGGTTTTAAAAAAGAGTCTGCCATCATGCTATTTACTAGTAGCGGTCAGAGTTTAACCTGCTTATTTTTATTTACATTTTAAGTTCTTTCCCAAAATTACTCTGATAATTCTGGCACGCCATTACTTTTGGAATAGTACAGTGAAAATCTGGTATATTGTTTTGTACTTTGATCTAACATATCCTTTGTAGTTTTAAAGATTAAGTGTTTTAGATTAAACGTAAAGGTAGTTTGAAGTTTTAGAAGCTGAAAGCTGAACAGTTGGGTTTTATAAGAGGTAGAGAAGGTAGTGAAGCTCTTGTATGCCTACTCTGTAGCCTTTATCTATCTTTCCTATGTGATCTATCCTACACTATAAAATTTATCTGGCATCTCAGTCAAAATCTAGTGTTTTTAGAAAGCAAGGCAGTGAATATTGAAGGTCCTAAACAGCATGAAGATTGAGATGTAAGGAAGGACAGTTAATCAGCCATCAGATTTTAGTCATGGTCAGGTTATGTAGCTGTTCGTGGAAACAGACATTGAACATCATCTGACACAAAAATGCTCCCTTCATCTTTTGACTGTATTGCAGTCAAAATAGCTTGCTGCTTTCATTTCCTTGTGTTGAGTAGAAACACATATTAGTAATAGTCTGTAGTTTGCCCAGTCAGTTGGAAACTTCAAGGCAATTGTTGATAGCTTCTAATCATCCTGCTGGTACCTTTACCCACTAGGCACTTTTTCTGAGTTGTGTTTAATTTCAGAAATTATTTACATTTGCCCAGTTTGTGGGTGAACTTTCAGGAATAGAAAAAAAATGTATATTCTTGTCAAGAGTATCCCTGCTGGCAAATGCCAAACCTTTTCGCAAAAACCTAGAGGTTTTACACTCCAACCTGTTTCTTTCCAGTGATCTTAAGATTTGTATTATAGAATTTTATTTTTTGCTCCACAGTAATGTTACTTTTTTAGAAATGGATACGTTATTTTGGCTTAAATTTGAAAAGGAAAGTATTTCAGCTAAACTACCACAGTAAAAATTTCAGGCATAATGGTTATAATTTGGATTTCAAGCCACTGAAAATTGAGTTTATTAAAGGTAGAATTAAGAAATTTTAACATTTCAAAATTTCCAGCTCTTGCTAGTCTGTTCCAGTTAAAAGTTGCAGACAAAACCATCTTTGAACTTTACAGTTACAGTCTCACATCAGTTAAGTTTTGATTATTTCTATAGGTGGAGATTCCACAGCCTCATAGGGTTTCTTGTTTCTGTGCTTGACCATCCTCATGGAAATTTTTTTGCCAACATCTAATCAGAATTTCCCTTGTTGCATCTTTTTTCAGTTGCCTCTTATCCTTTCATTGTTCCCTTTCAAGAAATATGTGGCTCTGCCTTTGCTGTAAGCTGTTATTAGATGGCTAAAGATAGTTGTAAGTTTAACCTCTACGCTTCTCTTCTTATGATGAAATAAATCCATCTTTCTCCTCCTACCTTATACCTTGAGAAGTCATTTTAGCGATTGCGGATGAGCACCAGACAAAGCATCATGCCTCCAAATACCTGAATATTTATTACAAATCACTAAAACAGATATTTATGGAGACTTTAGCCTATTTTGTTGTTTTTCAATTTGGATGCAAAAATCTTGCCAGCAAACCAGAACAGATTTTATATTGCTCCTTGAGTTCCCTGAACCACAGCATAGGATGGAATGCTGGAAACAGAAGTGCTTGTATACTGTCTTGACATGTGCTTAATTTTCCTTACAGACCAAATGTCACCAGTATTGGCCTGATCCACCAGATGTAATGGAATATGGCAGCTTTCGTGTCAGATGCCACTCTGAAGACTGTACGATTGCTTATGTTGTTAGAGAAATGGTGATTACAAATGTTGAGGTAAATGTCCCTTATCCCCAAGCAAGCTGAATGAATACAGGTAGAGATAGGTAGATAAAGACTCTGTCTTTGATAACATATATCTCTGTGTGTGAATATACACATGTGTGTATATAGACACACACAGTTTTTAAAAAAGAATATTTGTATATTATATGAATCAAGATAGTACGATTATTTATTTAGAGCTTCACAAACATACTTTTTGAAGTTCTATAATACGTGATGCTGTACAGATATTGTAATAACCTTCATAAAGAAGTTTAGTGCTTTTTTTTAAACAGTTTTGCAATCACTGGATTCACAAGTAGTTTGATTTATAATGTGAGGTTTTTTTCTAAGTAACCGTGCTCTTTCAGGGATGAAATACGGGTCACTTGGTTAATGGTACATGCAGCTAGAATGGCTATTTAAGAAGTGAAGCATAATAATGTTGTTTTGAGAGAAGATACAGAATCTCACCAGTTCCTTTCCATTATCTTTAGTCAAATTTTAAAAAAAGAAAAAAAAATCCATATATATCTCAATTGAAATGTGCTCAATTTATATAAGATACATATATTCCATAGCTCCTAATACTTTATGCTAATGTCAGAGTTGGAAAGCAAAGAAAAGGTTAAACACATGCATATTCTCTTGTGTTGTCAAATGTGTGTGCAGGTCACATCTAGACTTCCCACAACCTGAGTTATAGGGGATGAAGTCTGACTTTTGTTTCTAAGTTGTCCTGGATTTCTTATGTTTCCTCTCCTCATCTCTTTTCCAAAATTCTACAGCCACAGGTATTCTCTAAAAAGATGAAGGGTTTATGCTTTCCTAAGATATGTAAGAAATGACTGTATACTGACCAAAGACTAATTTGCAGTTCCATTATTAGTACGTCTTTTAAACTTCTGTATAGTTTAGTAGCTTTTATAGTTACCAGAATGGCTAGTAGTCAAAAAAAAGAGGAAATATCTGTTTTAAAATATAACATGTAATCAGTGTTCCTACAGCAAGATGACCAATCCTTTAGTCTCATACATTTGTAACTGAATCTGTCACTTGGCAGCCCATCCAAATTTGTTTTAATGTAATTAAGATTTCCTTTGTAGTCATAAAGTGAGATGTCAGATGTCAGTACTTAAAGGTCTTTCAGTTGAGTAGAGTGTTTCAGTTTTTAGCTGTGAGAAACCACATAGTCAGGGAGCAGCATGATATTTCTTTCTGTATTTTGGCCAATTAATCTGTAAGTTATAAACTTGAATGTCAGCACAGAAGAAATTAAGCTCATAAAAGTAGTACTGCAAGTAAATATGCACAAACTTTTAGTCCCTGTCACTCAAATTATTTATTTTTAACCTTTCTAAGCCTCATGAAATAAAGAAAGGATTAATTTCCTGCCTTTTCAAGACCAAGATTGAAAGCTGTACTGTAGCAAAATGAAAGGAGAGCAAAAAAAGCACTAAGTTTGGGGTTTTTTTGAGGTTGATTAGGGTTGGGTTTTTTTTGGTTTTTTAAAGCTTCAGAACACTTTGGAGATCAGAACAAACAGACAAAAGGAAAGAAATTGTGTAGTGTGAGTGCAGAGTTATCACACAGTGCACTGTTTTGTAAAACAAAATATGAATTTCTTTTTAATCATTGAAAAAAATAGCATGAGGAGCCTAAAACAAACTTTTATTCAGTTTCCTTTAAGAGAAATGCCTTGCAACATTAAATCTCATCAATTTCATTCAATTATGTTTTGAAGAAAACTTTTTTGCTACTTTCCCTTCTTCAAACAAGCATTTGTTCTTGATTTCACTTAAGTGAAATAGAACACAGAACTTAACGAGGCTGTGGAGATAATACTTGCTGAACCACGTAACTCACATTACTTTGAAGGACTGTAATTTTTCAGGGTTTTGGTTTATTTGTTTTGTTTTTTATTCTCCCACACTTTATGTTAGTTGTTGCCACAATTTGTTTGTTGTTTTCAAACTGCCCTGTCATTCTTTCACCTGATAAATTTTACTAAGTAAACAAGAGGCTGAAGAGCAGTGCTGCAGAAAGGGGTCTGGGGGTCCTGGTCGATGGCAGGTTGAATCTGAGTCAGCAGTGCCCTGGCAGCCAGGAGGGCCAACCGTGTCCTGGGGGGCATCAGGCAAAACATCACCAGCCGGTCGAGGGAGGGGATTGTCCCACTCTACTCTGCACTGGGGCAGCCTCAGCTGGAGTTCTGTGTGCAGTTTTGGGCACCAAAATAGAAAAATGACATTAAACTACTACAGAGCATCCAAGAAAGGGCCATAAGGATTGTGAAGGGTCTTGAGGGGAAGCCATACAAAGAGTAGCTGAGGTCACTTGGTTTTTTCAACCTGGAGAAGAGGAGACTGAGGGGAGACCTCATTGCAGACTTCGGCATCCTCATGTGAGGGGAAGTGGAGGGGTGGACACCAATCTCTTCCCTGTGGTGACCAGTGACAGGAAACAGCATGAATCTGAGTCAGGGGAGGTTTAAGTTAGGTATTAGAAAATGGTTGTCCACCCAGAGGGTGGTCAGGCACAGGAACAGGCTCCCCGGGGAAGTGGTCACAACACCATGATTGTCTGAGTTCAAGAAGCATTTGGACAATTCTCTCAGGTACATGGTGTGATTCTTGGGGTGCCTGCACAGGGCCAGGAGTTGGACTCGATGATCCTGATGGGTCCCTTCCAACTCAGTATATTCTATGATTCTATGAAATTATTCAAAGAAAAAGAAAAAATTTCAAGATGTTTAAAAATTGATTGAATTTCATCCATGAAAGACAAGTTATATGATTGCTATAATGAATGAGTGTGAGAGCCATGACAGAGTACTTACATCTTATAAACAACCCAGGTCAAGTTAATTAAAACAATTCCTTGTGTCATAATATGGATTTTTTTAGCGTGATTGTGCAGGCAGTGACAATGCAAATAGAAGGATTTGGAGTGATAAGCTTCTTTTTCATTTAAAAGCTATCACTTTCCATGGAAATAATGGACTAACAAAGCCAGATTAGATAAATTATACATCTATCAGACATTAAGATGCTAGAATAATGACTGTCACTGAAAACATCAGTGCAAAAAAAATTGTGGAAAAGACTTAAAAGGAGTTTCACAGAATGATGGTTTGATGAGCAACACGAGTGTAATGAGAAGTTACCTCTTCTTTTCTATTGCTAGGTTTGTACAAAGAAGCAGGGTCTGGCAGAAATAGTGTGTTTAAAAATAAGTATTGTTAGCAAAACATGTAGAGTGGGGCTAACTATGGAACCAGTAACTACAATTTGGCATTTTCTTTCATGTATGAGTGCTAGATTTTAGTAAGTGTGATGGTCTTTTAATGTTAGTTATTTCCATGTGGGGTGTTATTTGGCTGACATTCTCTGAATTTAAAAGCTGACTTTCCTTGTGAATGTAAAGACTTGAAGATTTTTTTTAAATAAAAAAAAAGGCAAAAAAAGCCCACTAAAAATAGCTTTAAAAAAATCTGGACTTTGTAGAGTACTGATTTGATATTTTCTGCATGAGACAGAAAAGCTTAGACTTAGAAAAAGTTCTAACATATATGACTATAACTACTGTTTACAATAGGTTAATATGAAGTGTTTTAAAATACTTGTGCATTTTGAAAAGCGAGTGACATAACAGTCAAATGTTAATTTGGATCATCTCAGAAGAGCTCAACCAAAAGAATCAAAACTGATTGTATTAAAACACAAATAACTAGAAAACTACACTGAAGCTTGAGGCATACCTGGAATAATTAACAAACACCTCTGTTGGTCTCTATGGATGGTTAGGGCATGCAATAGAAAATGAAGATGATTGCACCAAAAGCAGCAGCTCTGGGGACCAAGTGCATGTTCTCAGAGTATATTCTCACTCTGAATAAGTCTTATATAACGTGATTGTGTTACTTTATGTCTGTGAACTATTTAAATAAATGCAACTCACTATATTTGAGTCTGTAATGATAAGTAGAAATTAAATTAACTCTTTCCTTTTTTTCTGAGCTTGTAAAATGACTTTTTGATGCTACAGATTACTATTAGTGGTTCTCAGGTGGGCCACTGGCACTTATCCATGCTGTATGGCTTTAAGTTCTTGAAGCACATGGAAGGCAACTCACTCTTGTATAGTTTTAGAATGAATCAAGGATGCTATAATTCAAATGTCTCTGATTTAAGAGAATCAGCTCAAACAGTTACGTGTAATTGCTGCATTATCTCATTTCCCTTTAGAAGAGGTTCTGATTAAGCATGCACAGATTTCGAAAGGAGAACTTTTTAATTACATTTTCTTGACATGTTTATGTATTTTTTTTAATCTTGGCATTTCAGAAAAATGTGAATTGTAATCATTGGTCAGGATCAACTGTTCCTACTCGGCAAAGCTGAGTAGCAAAAGGCCATGCTTTTTCCTGCAGAGGTCCTGGTCATTGTGGACCTTTTGATAACCTGGCTGATAGATCCCAATGCAATTCATATTACAGGGAGCTTGATTATTAATGTTAGATTACGTTGTCCCCTTGGGCCTTATGCTGGGCCTTTTAATTGTGATTGCTCAGGCTGTGCCTTCAAGGGGCAAAGTATCATTTATCTTTTGGTCCCTGGAGGCAATTATAAATTTCTGCAATTGCTTTAACTGGAATTGCATTTCCTAAGACTCTACTTAGTAGGCAGTAGTTATTCTATCTTTTGTGTTCTACTAGCCTGCTCCCTGGTAGTAGAACCGCTTCCTCAAGCAGAAGAGGAAAGCAAGCAGTTGAAGGCATTCTATATTTCAGCAGCTGTGCACTTAGCTTTTGAAGTCACCAGCATCACAAAAAACATTCTTATGTGGACCCCTAGAGAGAGGCCAGCTTTTATAGACTAATCTAGTGATAAAGGAGATGTCAGTAGGGTGTCAAATGTTAAGTATGGTAATGGACATAAATAACATGCAGGTCTAACTATTGCAAAATGTGTGGAAGAAATAAAGGAACATGAAGGTTTGTCTCAGCTTGTAAAGAGCAAGATCCTCATTGCATGATACAGCAGAGCTCAGGAGCATCTTAAGTTTTTTCCTTCCTACCCTAAGTATTAATTACATCTGTAATGTATCAGTTGAGCCCAATCTGCATGCAAAGATGATTGAGTGGTTTCATAATCAAAGTTAACAAAAGGCTAAACTGAAAGAACTTCTCTAAAATCGTTTTTATTTTGAGGTATAATTGAACCAAAAAGAACTCTTTGTGCAACAGAATCTTTTAACTAATTATATTGCTTCCATACAGAAAAGTATCCTTCTGTGGATCATACAGAAGTCATTGCTATATGTAAAATGAGCATGTATGAATGATATATGTTTTCTGACAGAAACCAGATTTAGCAAATGTTGCAGACAACTTTATTATAGCTGAATCTGTAAGTATGCACAGACATATTTACAACAGATTGTGTAGCCCCAAGCCTCTGTTATTTTGATACTGATCTCAATAGTCCTGCTGTTCTCTGTTGTTTCTTTCAACCTATTCTAAACTATTATATAGTACTATTGTTTCATTTTACCTCAGGATTTCAAAGTACAATAGGTCAATAATCAATAAATCCAAAAAATTAAAATCTGTTTAGATCACGGAAGTTAAGTTTGATATCTCATTTATTTAGAAAATGTTATGCATCATATATGCTTTCTGACAATTACGTCTTCATACTTCATACTGAGTTTTAAAATGACAAACATTTTCTACATCTACCTCTTATTGCATCTGCAGAATACTTTGACTGTGAAAAATGTGACTTTTGTCTAGTAAACATGAATACAGCAGTCCTAGCACTGGACATTTTCTGAAAACTTTACTGTATTTTAGACAGAACAACAACACACCGTCACCCATCTCCAGTATGTAGCTTGGCCTGATCATGGCGTTCCTGATGACTCCATGGACTTCTTGGAGTTTGTGACCTGTATGAGGCCAAAGAGAGTAAAGAATGAGCCAGTTCTTGTTCACTGCAGGTACTTGTGTTTTAAAATTCTAATTATAGATCTACTTCAGCCTTAGAATAAGCATTTCATGTGAAACGTCTGTCTCCAAGACGGGAGATTCCTTGAATTAGATGAAAATCTTAAATTGTGCAATACAAGTGTTCACTGCTGAAGAGAGAAACTGATGTTATATGTAAACGATGAGTTTCCTTTGTCTCCCTTTCTCCTGCAACCTTTTGGTGAAATGGCTTAGTCACGTAATTATCACAGAGCTGATAAATCTGCAGTGTAATTTGTTCTCTGGTTTTTATCCTCTACCACTGTCATAACCTCATTCTGAACAGCACTGCAAAGGCTTTTTTGCTGCTGTTCAAGTGCCTCTCATAAAAACAGTTTTTTTAAAGTCAAAAATACCAAACCAATACATTTAGATTTTTAAGCAGTTATAATTGTTTAAAAATGCGTTTACTTTAAGTAAGGTTTTAGTTTTATTTATATTAAAAGATATTTTCTTTTTAGTAATTGCCGGAAAATATTACTGAATTTGCTGTAAAAATAAACTTTGCACTCTGATTAAATTTTACTAAGATCTTTCTGTAATTCCTGAGGTTGTTTAGCATCCTAGTATTAAGACTATGATATGAATCTAGTGCATTGCAAAATCCCAGTTTTATAGACTATTTTCCTGTTACATTTCACAGTGCAGGAATCGGTCGTACTGGTGTATTGGTCACTATGGAAACAGCCATGTGTTTAATTGAAAGGAACCAACCTGTTTATCCACTGGATATTGTAAGAAAAATGCGAGACCAACGAGCTATGATGGTGCAAACATCAGTAAGTGATGGAAAGGAAGCCTGATTTTCTGTGTATACTGCACTTGTCAAGGTTTAAAACAGATTCAAAAATTTTTTAGATATAGGAGTCTCGTATGAGTCTTCAGTTGCCATTATATTTCAAACTTCATAAATTCAGCACAAGGTAGCACGCTGGCATAGGCTGCTTTGCTATGATGTATGTATTTAAAACACAGCCTGTAGCCTGAGGTGTCAGGTGTGCCCTGGGCAGCTGTTGCAAATGACCCGTTATTAACAGTCCATCAGAAATTACATAGAGGATGTAGAATACACAGTTTTGGTTATACCCACATAGTGATAAACTGATCCAGGTCCCTGTAACTAAGACACATGGTTTGAAGAGAGGAAATGGCTTTTCAACAGGTCACTTTGAGTAGAAATTCTATAAGAACAATATTTATTTACTTTTTTCATTTTGCCTCTACCCAGTTTGGAAAAACAAAGGGCAAGTTGGGTAGTATCAGTAACTGAAATATAAAAGTAGACAGTGATATTAAGATGAAAGTGGTTCAAAGACAACTTGAGATCATTAAGGCAATTTTGTATCAGCTTTGGAAATGAATATATTTGAAGTTAGAGACTAAGGCTGAAGGATGAGAGACTGTTCTTTCTTGGGGACAGATTGGATGACAAGAATACTAAGTGTGGGTTATCTTGGAGAGCTAAATGTCCTAGGAGAGATGGAAGTAAGGGGGGTTAGACCCACAAAGACAACAGTTAAATTGGGCATTTCTGTCTCTAATGTTCAAAAGAAAATGCCTTGGTTTCCATTTGATCAAGGAAAAAGTAAATTATGAAGAAAAATTCTGTTCATTAACGGGTTAATGACTGCAGGACCTAGCATTGTGATTGCCTAGACAGGGAGAAAAAGGGGTGTAAAGGCATCAGGATTTATAGTTGCCTGTGTAACATTATACTGCTCAGTGAGCAGAGTTTGGTCGTGCATGCTGCTGGGACTCTTTTCATTGCAGTATGAGTGCACTGTCTGGAAGAGTGTCAGGACTGTATGGTTGAGAAGGGATTTGTTTGAAGGGTCTCCTGCCTGTTCCTTTCAGAAGTGGAAGCTGAGATAATGACAAAGGTTGTCATCAAATGAAGTTTAAGGAAGCTGAATGTTGACTTCTGGACTTGCACCTATCTACACCCCTCAGTTTCTAAAACTATCTGAGCAACTTCAGGCTTAGTCTAGAGGTGGTGCTCTTTTTGAAAATCAGATATGAGAACCTGAAGTAAGCTTCAGCTTGTTGGGAAGGCCGAGTCCCTTTTGTTACAACAGAAATCAGCAAGAATTGTTCTTGCACTCCACAGTTTGACATAACTGAAGAATACAAGGAATAGCAATAAATATACTGATAATCAGACCCCCTGTGTGGAAAATGAATACCTAAAATAGGATTCTTTACCTTGCTTGCTGTGTGTCACACAGTTCACTGTCAGCACAATCAGGAGAGGGATGATCTGTAGCAGCAATACTGTGAAACTAAATTCACTTGTTATTTCCAAAGTAGGTAGGTACTGTTGTGAAAAGCCAATGAGCAGAATTGTCATACGGTGCTATAAATGAGACACAGAAGCAAGCACTCAGCTGTGGGAAAACAAACTACCAAAGAGCTACATGTTAATATTTCAATCTATCCTGGGTGCTCTATGGCATTCCCATGCTTGTGTTCTAGCTAGCCCCACTCATATTTGCTCATATTTGATATTCAGCTTAGGGCTTCTGGGAGAAGACATTAGAGGTGGTTCAGTTGTAATATAGAGATTGTTCAGTTTTAATAGCCTTGCCTGAAGCATGTTCAGCTGCCCTGTGGGGATTGTGTGTGTGCTCCAATTCTAAGATGATACACTTTGCCAGATGCATGTTGTGAGTTAATACCAGACAGGGCATATTTGTTAAGAATGGACCCATCAGAGCTATTAACTGGTCAGTTTAGTGTCTGTTTTTAGTCATGTGAAAGCTGTAGTTTCTCAAAAACCAATACTTTGGTTATCAGGAGCAGCAAAACAGAAGTTTCAACCAAAATTATAAAGCTACAACGAAATTGGTATAACACTAGGCCTTTCACTGAAAAAAAGAAAAATTAACCATTATGTTCCATTAAAAAGAAATTAGAAAAACTAAACAATACAGAAAACAGAGCTTTAGGATGCGCATAATAGAACTAGCTACCAGCTGACTGAGCAGGAAGAATACGTGCAACAGGTAAGAGAAAACAAAATAAGTAGTCAGAGACTGAGTCAGAGTAAGCAATGCTGAAGTGCTCATTCTTTTATTTGTTCAGTAATTCGATCCCACAAGTTAACAGAAGTATTGAACAGAGAGCTAAATATCACACCTGACTTGTTCAAGCAGTAGAAATATGGAAATTACTATAACGGTGAAGAGAAAAGTCAAGGTAATTAAGAAATAAAGACAAAAGAACAGAGTGATATTGAAGGTGGGAGTAATTGACTGAAAGGTTAAAAGAAAAGGCAGAAAAATTGAGATGCAGAAAACTCATTTCCACCTCCCAGTTTCCCTTAAGTTTTTCTGTATCTGAGGGAAAATGTTTTACAGTTTATGGACGAGAATAGCATTCCTAACTGCTGGTATTTACTTGCACTCTAAGGTCCTTCACAGTCCAAATATTATCTTTGAGCCCAGCCCTTTGGGAGATAATGGGGCAATGTTTCCAGATGTTTCTGTAGAGTTGATGGGAGCTGACAGTACAAGGGCAGCTGGGAGAACAGTTCAAATATGGAAAAAGGGATTTAAAAAATGTGAAGCTGTGCTTCTCTGAGTATGACATGGAGTTGGAGGAAGGTGTTCATTTGGGGGTTTTGTCAATGGTACTTTCAGAGAAGAGGGAAGGATGCTGTCAATCTTTGCAAGTTCTTTTAAATTTCAATCATCTTGCATTCTCAGGATTGTGTTAGTCATACAAATTTTTTCAGTCTATGTGGATTTTTAGTCCTATTGGTAATGTCTCCTTGTATCACTTTTCAGAAAGAGGCTTGCAGGCTAATTGATTTTAATAAGTAGTTACATCACAAGGTGATGAAAGGAATAGTCTTTGTAATAGTAGAATGCAGAAAAGAAACACTAATTTGTGAAGACTTTATAAGATCTAATTGAGATCAAAATGTTGGGTGATAAAAAAATTGATGTGCCTGCTGCTCTTCAAAACTATTTATTTGAAAGGTTTTGATCCCCTTCAGTTGCAAAAGGAGATATGTGGTCTGATCAAAAATTGAAAATGAAGTGACTCCTTTTTCTGCAGTAGTGTGGTTTGGGAAAAAAGGTAGTTTTTAGTTAGGTAGTTGCATCTATATATCCTATATGGTAACTTTAAATGTGGTTTTGGTCATGTAACTTAGATGTGCCAGTAACATGGAACTGTAAGATTGGCAAGCTCAGAATACTCATGGTAATCAGATAACTGGAGAAAAAAAAAAAAGATAGAAAAAAAGATGAGATATGTAAGGAATGTAAATAACTAATTAAACTAGCTATTATTTAACTAGTTAGCAAAATCATATAAATATGTGTAGGTTTTACAAATAAATCCTATTCCCTGAAAATTAATTATGAATGCTTTTAATACTGGGGACTGTGTTTTCCTCGGTATATGATTTTTAATGCTTGTTCTTCAAGGAAGAGTAAATGTTACCTTTGTTTATTGTGAACACAGCCAGGGGAGTAGGATTTTCTCCTCCCATCTTTGTATTTCCTCTCCTGTCATTGTCCAGGAAAAAAGGAAGCCATGGGACTGTTAGTCCTATTCAATACTATGATCTGATCAGGAGTTTACCTGAACATCCATAAATGTTTTTCTGTTTTCTTTCTTTTACAGAGTCAATACAAATTTGTTTGTGAAGCTATACTTCGTGTTTACAAAGAAGGATTGGTTCGACCACTGGATTCCAGTTAGCACAGCAGTGAAGAATGAATTCTTTTTTCACCTAAAAAAGACTGCTCTTTAGTTAAGAAAGGGCTCATTTCTCAAAGCAACTAGAATGGACTAGAAGCCCATGAAAAGACGTATGAGCACATTTGAACTGTGGCACTTTAAATTTCTCAAGAAGATTGCTAAATCATGTACAGTGTAACAAAGTCACGTAGATAAATATATGACAGTAATTGTGTGTAATATGCTTTATTCACATAGATGACCATAAACAATCATGGAAACCTTAATACATATCTTTTACTGCCTTAAAACACCCTCCACTTTGGAAGTTACAAAATTCCTTGTATTTAATTTGAAATAGCAAAAAGAAAACTCATAGTATTGAAATGATTCAGCTTAAGAAGATATTTTAATATATTTGTATTGTATGAAAGTTCATTGAAGGTGAATATATGTAATTTCCTTATTGGGATACTAAATATTCAAGGAAATTCAGCCTTGACTACTAAAAGGATGACGAACAGCTTTAAAGGCTAATGCATAACTACTGTACATTAAGAGCTGGAGAAATTTAGTATTCATTTACCATAAATCTATTAGTGAGTTTACCAGCTGTTATAATATGCTTAGAAATCACATCTACTGTATGTGATGTGAAAATAATGCTGCATTTAGGCATTTATGCAAATGGTACAGTCTACATCTTCTGTTGATCAGTTTTAATTGCAACTTGCCCTTGTAACAGTGACCTACTTCTTACAGTTTTGGTTATTGTACTCCTTTTCTTCTGTTTCTGCTGTCCATCTACTTTATACTTGTTTTTCAGTCATGTGGACTGAAAACATTGTAACTTAAAATGAGTTTTAAATCTCTGTCATGTTTGTTTCCATGTATATTTATGAGTTCTCAGATGTAAATGTGGATTAATGCTGCACACAAGTACTAGACTTTTGACTTACTGTATATGCAAAGTAGTCTAATCCAATACTGGAAGAAAAATTACTACTGAACCCATCAAATATGTTGCTGCTATTTCAAGGTGTGAAGCTTACAAGGGCACAGGTGTTGCTAGTGTTCAGACGGTGATAAAATGATGACTTGCTGCCCTCCAGCAAAAATGCTCTTATCCAGTGGAACACAGCTCCCTTTTGCAAGAGTTCTGCGGATTTACTGTGTTTCTTGCTTATGCAGAAATGCAGCTAAATTCACATGAAGATTTATGTGGAAAGAGAGAACATATTTGTATATCGATGAATAATTCACCCTAAGGTACACTGGTCTCTATTTCATTTCAGATGGGAGAATTAGACTTTCTGAACAATATAACCACATTTGTATGATGTTAATTTATTTTGTGTGTGCTTTTTGATTACCCTAAGATAGTTCTTAACTTTTTAATAGCGTTTAAAAATTATTCTAAGGGACTGTTTAAAACTCTGTTATTTAAAAGATTAGTCCTAAGTAAGGAAAAATTTTTATGGGGCATATTAGCCAGATGTTTATATGTGTATAAAAGAGAAAATGAAATAATTTTTGAGAGATATATATGCACACACATATTCAGATATATTTTAGAATTATGGTTTGTATTATGGATATTATCATTTGTATCTGGAGTTTCATTATAGAAACTATCACAACTGTACAATATGCATCTCTCATGTTACCAAAGGTTATGGTTTTTTTCCCCAGGAGATAACTAAAAAGTGAATGTAGGATGTGCTAAATTACTGACTCTTGTCTTCTGTAGGCTTGGATCTTTCTCTGAGATTGCATTATTAGTTGTAGCTAAAGAAAATACCTGGTTACTATTGATCAAAAATTTTAGTTGCAACACTATGGGTAATTGGCAACATGGAAACCTTCTTGGCTTTGTTAGGTTGAAGGCTGAATAGGTTTGTGGTCATTCTTATATACTGCATTCCAAATTTTACTTTGAATGAAGTTTTTGTAGTATTTTGGATCATTGTCCTCTTGCTTGATTAGGCATAGATTAGGAGGCAAAAGACCGTACCTCTGGTTCACTTTGATCTTGCTAAACTGCATCAGATCGCTCAATCTATCTGTGTGACCAAATGTAAAATGATACGGGACATGCACATATAGCTCGGGAAGCTTCTTTGAAAAATGCATGTGGAAAAGCTTTGCACAAGTGCAGGCCACTTGCTGCTGTTAGAATATTGAGCAGTGAGAAAACCTAGTGGATCTTTCCCAGGGAAGGAGTAGTGGGCAGTAAAGAATATATAGTCTCCTGGATGGTTAACAAAAGCCTCCTTTTTGTTATGTGTGTGCCTGTCTGTTAAAACAGTTTTTTGTTTGTTTTCTTTTTTTCATGTTTTGTTGTGCCCAGGTCTCAGAGTCATCCCTTGCAGTTGGCATGACTTGCATTTAATAGTTTGTCAAGAAGTGAAAAAGGCAAAAAAATAAATTGCAAAAAAATATTTAGAGCATCTTGTGACATCCATTTCTTTCATGGAAGTATTTACGATATATTTGTGTTCAAGGTTATTGCTATATTCCTATTGTTATTTATGTTTCTTCATGTTGAATATGTACTTACCAAAGCACTGTAAATTTATTCCTTATTTAACTCCAGTCTCAAAATATATGGTATAGGCTTGACTTACGTTAGTATGTGTGTGTTTAAATGATGATGGTCATAGTGTGACAACAGATGCTGCTTTTGTTGGGTTTGGTAATACCATTGGTGAGTTCTTACTTGGATTTTAATAATTATTTGAAATTGCTAGCCATGGAGAGACTATTTAAAGCTATAAAAATAGTAATCTCTGTAAGACTTTTTTTTTTTAAACGTTAGAGGAAATATTAACTACACAAATATCTTGTACATTGTGTCCATCTTTATTTCAGTCTTGCTGGGTTTTGCACATGTACCTATAGGGTCCATAGGGGAGAATGAAGGGGTTTTGTCTTCTCTCTGTAGTGTGTAATGACTTTGCACTGAATGAAGTATGCCTTAGATCTGATCTTGCAATGAAAGCATAATTATGAAAACATCTTCTTAATGCCAGCTTTTGTTTCCACAAGAATTAAGAAATTAAAAAGACATACATTTGATTGATCATTCTGGGGTTTTTTTGTAGGAGTTAAAATTCCTAACACAAAGTTTTTAACTGTCAAGCAATTGACAAATGGCAGAAAATGCTGTGAAGTCAAGATACTATATAACCTTCATAAACAGTTTAACCTTGATTTTACCTGTGCTGGCATGATCATGACAATAAGTATTCAAAATGTCTAGTGTGGTGGTGGATGAAGAGGGAGCAATAAACCTTTGAGGTTTTCATCACTGTGAAATACACTAACATTTATTCTAGAGAATTAAACAAATTTTAACTATGTGGCTTTATATTTAATACAGAAGTAACTTATCTGCTTATTTAGAGTGTCTTCAGAACTCTCATATGGGAACACTTCTGAGACAGAGGGACAGATCTTGCCATGTATTGAAAATTAAAAAAAAAAAAAAATGAGTGCCCTAAACCATGAATGCCTTTTGTGTAACCAGATGGATGAAATATGAATCATTAAAATACAAACAAACCTTGAATAGTGGTGGCGTTTTGCAGAAAAAAAATAAAATTAAAAGAGTAATTTTGTGATCCAGTGGTTTGCTTTCAGTAATCCTGTCTTCTGGGTGTTGGTACTAAATTATATGCAGTCAAAATGTACCTAAGAATTCAGCAATAACTCTTCATACACACTCAGTTTTTTTAACAGTTGGTTTTCTTTTTTCCCTTCTTTTTTCTACTATGCAGTACTTGGTTAAATATATATGTATTTAAAAAAAATTGTTGTTCTGGACTATATAACGAACTATGCATTGAATTTATTACAAGTATAAGATTATATTGTTTTACAACAAAAGCTCTTCCCTGCCGATAGTATTCTTGTGTGTCAGACTGAATGCATAAATGGCCCCGAATGAAAATGTTGAAAATAGGCGCACATGGTTAATATTCAATCAATTATAGTTTAAACATTGTCATTTCACTGATAATGGCCTTACTTTTATATCCTAAAATGTAGCATCCAAGTGCAAGTTTATTTTACTCCATCACATAAGGCCTTTCCAGAGAGAACACGTGCTGAGAAATGTTTGTATTTCGATTAGTAACCTGCAATCAGCCTATTTGGTTAAAAGCATTTATTAATTGAAGCTATATAGAAGATAAAGTTGTGTCATGAAATACTTTGTTCAAAGGCAGTTGAAAGCCAAATGAATGATTAATTCATTATATAAAACATAATGTTTTGATTAAATGGATTCTCTTGCATTTAAGTTCTGACACTGATAGTGTTAAGCCATCTCAGATAACTGTCTGTTTTAACAATAGTATTACATTAACAGTTTAAATATAGCAATCTAATGCAATATGATTTAGTTATAGTGTACTTTAACATATTTAATATTCCAGCTGTTTGGTAGCTGTGCAAGCTTCGAACAGTAGTACCCACAGTCAGTGAAACTTACCATCCTAAAAAAAAAAAAGTAAGTTTCTCTGAATGAAAAGGAAGGAGTAGCCCATAATATTGATAGATTTAACCATTTTTCAGCTTCAACTAACCATGTCACAATAGTGATCTTACCACTCATATAAAAAAAATATTGAGGATCAGTAATATTATGGAAATATGGAAAAGACAAGTTGTGTGGACTGTTGATGTTGTTTAGTTTTGGCTGTAGTTAAGAGACCAGTAATTATTGTCATCTTTTTTTTTTTTTTTTTTTGACATTCATATCAAGAGGTGACTGTGGGAATGGAGAGCAGAATGTGGGTTTATTGACTCTCTCCTAATTCACTTGCAGCCTACTTGGATAAGAGTCTTAAATTGTGTGTTATTGTGGGCTTAGCTGCAAGTTTTGTGTCTTTAATTAGCTTTGTATTTAAAATATTAACGCACTGATTTTAATAGACACTAGTGAAGCACTTCAGTTTACTGTTAGCTGTTCAACTTCTATTTACTTGGCTTTCATGGTTTTGTTTACTGAACTGTCATTGTTTTACCTTATAAAAACACTTCGAGGTTTCCCACGACTGTAAAACTGGCTTTGTCCTAAATGGGCAAAGTGTTGTTACCATTGCTTAAGATAGGATGTTACTTACACCTGCTGAAGGTGCAATGTGGTTTTCAGACCAGCCTGAACTGAGCTCCTTTCTGAGGAATTTAAACAGTGCTACCAAATGGTGGTAGAAATTTCTACCAGTGGTAGAAATCATAAAGATATATGAAAATGCATATAGGAAATGCTTTGTTCAGGGCAGATAAGACCTGAGTTTTATTTAAAAATAAAAACAGACAAAAAAATTTGTGAAGATGAAAATGTTTTTAATAGCTAAGGTAGGGATGGGAAATACATTATTTTGTCCTTTTGCAGACCACTTCTGTGTTTTAAACACATCAATTCTTTTGGAGCAATTTCTGTAGTAAAGAGCCCTACTGTTGGTGGGATTTAATTTTTGTCAAACTGACCTAGAAAATAATTTTAAGTGGAACATTTTCCTCATTTACTGGTTTGTGCTTTCAAGTAACATTAAAAAACAAAACAAAACAAAACAAAAAACCAAAACAAACAAACAAACACCTGAAATCTCTTCCCTTTAAAATTATTTTGGCTGTTGTCATTTGATATCTTTTTCTGATATATAAATGAAATCCAAATGTGGCTGGATAACTAGTTAGGTTGCCCCACATGCTGGGAGGAAGCAGATGCTTTTCTAATTCTGTTAAATCCCTTACCTAACATCAGGTACCAGCTGAAACCAATGTTGCATCGTATTTCTATCAGCCTTTTGCAGAATAAACATTCTGTAAATAGGAATTCCTTGGAGCTTGCTCTCCCAAACATCAGAAGTCGTCTTGCGTCAAGCTAGAATTTATGCTTAAAAAAAAAAAAGTTAAAATCTGAATCTTCAAGTAAAGAATGACTGTTTACCAAATTCTATACAAGGCATACCTTTTACAAGGAAAAAGAATTGGTGAAAAGGCTAGCTGCTAGAATTATCTTCTTTGCTGTGAGTGCATCTTAAGTAGTCATAAAACAAACTAGTTCTCAGCTAGTATGCACTATGGCCACTAAAGCACAAAAATTGCATCATCAGCCTAACTGCTTGGATAACTTCTCAACTTTCTTGCAAAGGGTTGATTGCAATCCTGATTTGGGAGGAAGGAGAAAGGGCTACTTTCCTTAGGGAAGAGACTGAAAGCCTGCTCAGTAAATCCAGTCTATATTGATCTTAGTGGGATTGTAGTTGTGTTATCTAACCTGTCTAGTTGAAAGTAAGATCAGGTGTATCTATATGAGTTTGCAAGAATATTGAGG